ATTCAACTTTTTGAATAAAAAACAGAGTTCTAGAGAGAGAAAGTGCGAAAAACAAACCATAGGAGCTATTTTGGAGTGGATTTCTCACCATTGAAGCCCATATTGCATCCCCAGGAGTGAAGATTGACATCCCAGAGCATATTATTCCCATCTTTGTGAGTATGACTGCTTTGATTTCTGTTTTCCTCTCTCTCTATGAAGTAGACCTTTCTCTCACTTGGGTATGAAGAACCCTAGTTCCATGTGTTAGGGATTTGAGTTGTAATCACTTTTGGATTGATATATGATTGATTTTAATTTATTGAATTGTGTTTATTGAGTCAATTGAATCCTGATCAACTTCTTTTGATTTCTACTGCAAATTGAGATAGATTGAATCTGATTAGGTTGTTAGAGCTTCTTCAATCGATAGGAGTGAATTGATTGTACGAGAGTTAGTCAATTCACTGCTTTGTACTAGAATCTGGTTCAATTAGTGGAGTTCTGTGTTAATTGTCTTAGCTTTCTATCCCGGTGAAGACTAGTCGTCTGCCGGTTAGTCTGTCTAAGAGGGCTTGGTCAGCTTAAGAGATTTCAAGCTACTGTCGGATCTTCCGCAGTTTAATCAATAGTAAATCAACCAAAGAACATTACAACTTGGACCTAACTAAGGAGCTAGGGGGACCCAATCCCGAGCGACTCTTCCCTTGCTCCAGAAAACCGGGCAATTTATTGCTTTCTTTATGCTTTAGCTTTAAATCACATTCACTAAATTTTTCCCGCTAGATAATAGATAACCACGGAGTAGGCAGTAGATCTAGACCCCGGGTTGACAAATAAAGCTTACCCACTATTCTGCATTTCCATTCTGCGATTACACTTGGTCGCAGTTTGGTATTGTGTTGTAGCGTGTCAACGAGTGGCCGAGGCGGTTATTATCTCGAGTCGCTCGGTCCCCCCCCCCCCCCTCTGGCCGTTCTGATAAATAAAAAAATCAAAAACTGAAAATCATAAAATTAAAGGAAAAATCGTCGGGGGCTGGAAAAAACCCTAGAGACCTAATTCACCTTCATCTCCTTTGTCTTCTTCACGAACAGGGAGAGACGAGCGGCGCCAAGCAATACCACCTTCGACACTTCCCGCCCCAGCTTCGGCGCTTCCGTCGGCGTCGTCCCCATCGCCCCTCCGCGCAACAGCTCCACGCTCGCCATCGTCATCGCCCATCTCACCTGTTCCAGCGCATCTCCCTGTAGCAGCTCCTCCAGCGCATCTCCCCTGCTCCTGCTCCGGCCGTCTCACCTCTACAGCATCTCCCACCGGTCACTGCCCTACTCGACTCGAGGTAAGTTAATTGATTAATAGTGAAGTTGAACTCATTTTATTATTTTGATTTCAACTGTGAACAGGAGCCACTAATTCAATTGTTGTTTGATTTAAATGTTTGATTTGGTAGAGAATCAACCCACTTTATTTGCTTGATTCGGTGTTTCTTTATAGATGAGTAATCCAAATCCAGATAGTGGTGGTACCCAATCAACAACACCGAGCTATACTGCTTCCACAATGCAAGCTGGTTGGGCAAAGATCGATCCAGCTTGGAATTACGTTCAAGAAATCAAAGGTGATAATGGGAAGGTAAAGGCACTTAAATACATGTTGTGTAGAATTGTCAAAAAAGGAGGAGGGATTCATCAATGAAAGAGCATCTTGCTCATTCTTCAAAAGGTAATATTATGAAATGCTCAAAAGTTCCCTATGAAGTGCGTGTGAGATTTGCCCATATTTTTAAAGAATATGATGAAAAGAAGGAAGGGAAGAAGAAATCTAATGATCCGAGCATTGATAGAAAAGAGGATGATGTGGATGAGTTAGTTGGAACACTGGCAACTAAAGATGTTAGTGACTTGATGAAGAAAGCTAAGGAGCTGATTTTTTACTCCAAGAACCACTCTTGGGTCTCAACCAGACATCAAAAGTGCAATGGCTACTTAGGATGAAATTCATAGAACCCATATGGTAGTTGCAGAATTCTTCTATGAGTTGATGCAAGCTATGGCTGAGAATGATGCTAATGAAATTCCTAGAGGAAGTGGAGCTACAAGTAGGAAAATATGTCGCAATGAAGGTTGGATTTACATATTAGTAAATGAAAAACTGTCAACTTTGATACATTTTTAACTCATGATTTCTAACATATTTTTTGTTTTCTTATCAGACGATGATGGATATGATGGTAGCACAACAATTGGCATGGTGTCCTCAAGCAGTGATTCATCTGATGCTAGTGGTGGTGAATGAGATGGTGTTGAAGTTGTATTTGATAGTTGTTCACTTGTTTGAGTTTGAGACTTTCAGTGGTTTCCATTTTTGAGACTCTTGTTTCATGTTCAGACTCGTGTGACACTGCTTTTATTTTGGAACGAAGTGGTGGTTTGGAATTGGATTTTAGAACTTTTGGTACTTATGTTCTCGAATTGTTAAGAGTGTAATTTACTAATTTAGTCATGGTTTACAATGATTAAGAAGTTTCCACTATTTATACTGATTGTTTATTATGTACCGGTTCTCTAACGATTTTAAACGATCTAATGTCGGTTGGACCGCTAAAGACCGAGCCATTCACATTATCGGGTCGTATTCCGGTTCGCTGATGACAACATTGATCATTAGTAGGGTAGTTTGTACTATGGTCTCTTATACCTACTCAAAGTGCGCACCTTTTGATGAAATACATGCATTACTTAAAAAAAGATTTTGTATTCTTATCTTTATGCGTTTGTGCTCTTTAATTTGACGCTCTTTAGTTTAATTGTTTCATTTCGTTGTACTAGCTTTAAAGTTCATTTTGTGGTGCCTCAACCATGGCCTTTTTTGGAATACTAATAGATGGATCGAAGTAATGAAGAGAAAGAGACTCTAGGGAATACAATCCCAGTAGTTTTCTTGCCATGAGGATAGTTGTATCGATCGAGCTTACAAATCATTATAGCTTTCACCAAGTTTTTGGCACCGTTGTTGGAGAATTCTTAGGTTATTAGGAAAAGCCGAGAACTACTGCTCTAGTCGTTATAATTTTTGTTTGTTAATCTTATTCTTGTGTATTGTGTTTAGCTATGTCTTATTTTCTTTCTCGTATTCTATCTTCTTTTGTTATTAACTATTTTGTCTGTTGTAAGTTTCCCTTTTTTCTTTTTCACACTTTTACTTTTATGGTTGTTTTTGTGTTAGTTAGATAGGTGTAGGTATTAGGCGCTCATGCGTCAATCTTTCTAAAAATAAAAAAGAGGTTTTATGGGATAGGTTTTGTACCCTACCATTTCCCATATTTGAAAATTCAAAAAATTGAACTGATATTTTAAAATTAAAAAAAAAATTGACTTATTATATTTATCCTAATATATATTCGTGCACACCAACAATGCCACCTTGCGTTCAACAAGATGCATCAAGTCATGGGTTCCGAAGGTGAGAGGAGCTCGAGACTGGTCAGCTAGGAGAGGCAGCCTCCAGGCTAGATTGCTCTGAACACGGATGGATCAATGATATTAGCTACAGGGAGTGCTACGGCGGGAGGTGACCTTCGGGATAGCGAGAAGTGGTCGGAATCTATCATGGCCTTAATATCGCTTGGATATGGGGATACGAAAAGTGCGGCTTCAGACCGACTCTAGGACGGCGTTAGCGATTATCCAAACGGACAAAGATAACCACCCGCATCGAACGCTGGCAACATCGATCTGATAGCTCATCGATCGTCAATGGGAGGTTAGATTAGAACATGTCTTTCGTGAAAGTAATTATGTTGCTGATTTCATGGCCGTTGTGGGTCATTCGCTACCTACGGGGATACATGTATTGGATGCCTCGGGTCCTACCTTATGCTACTGGTTGTTGTTTGATTCTCTTGACGTACAGACACCTCGAATTATTAATGGATAAGGGTTAGAGCGCCCCTGCGCTCTGTTTCTCCTATTTCTAGGGGAAAGTTAATCTGCTAACTTGAAGATTCGTTAGCAGATACTAACTAATATCCAAAATACATGAATTAATATCTAAGTACTAAAGAATCTAGAGAGCATAGACTAGTATTCAAAGTTTGCTAACTGGTATCCACCATGAATCAACTATTATCCCAAATTCACAAACTAATATATAGACAACACATAATAGTATCCAAACAACACATAATTAGTATCGAGATAACACATAAGAGTATCCAGATACCCCATAAGAGTATCCATATTGAATACTAGTTGGTTGATTGTAGATATTAGTTAGTATCTGCTATCTAGATACTAGTTTGTGATGTTTTGAATGCTAATATATGCTATCTAGATACTTAACGAACTCGGATATTAGTTCATACATTTTGGATATTAGTTAGTATATACCAACTAATCTTCAAGTTAACCCAATAACTAGGCTGCTCTTTCTCAGGATGAAATCCCATAATACATATGTTTTTTAAAAAAATTTCCAAAATACACACGTTATTAAAAAAATTCCCAAAATACACATGTTTGTGCATCACCGCTGTTGTCAACCGCAGTGAATGCATTCACTGCGGCAGACCAAAGCGGTGAATGCATCACCGCTGTTGACGGTCGCGGTGAATGCCTGACGTAACACTGAAACTTCAAACAAACGTAACTTTGTGCTCGGTTATCCGATTGTAGCGGAAAAAAAAATTTATTCCATATAAATTTTCAAGATCTTTCAATATGCTTAAAGACTTAATCTAAAAAAAATGTCGTTTGTTACACCGAACGAGCAATTTTTCGATTTTGCCAAACTTTGGAAGGCCATAACTTTTAGCTCCTCAATCCGAACGTCGTAAAGTTTTTTTTATTGCGCATAACTTTTTAAGAACTACAACTTTTACAAGGAAAGAATTTTTTAAACAAGAAATGTTTTTGGGTATAAGAGATTTTGGCAATAACTTTGCCTTTACTTTTCACAAATCCACATACTTTCCAAAATTATGGTTATAATAAAAGTTTTATTAATTCAAAAGTTATGCGAAATCAAAAAAAGTTTTATGATATTCGGATTGTGGAGCATAAAGTTACGGTCTTCCAAAGTTTGTCAAAATCAAAAAATTGCTCGTTCGGGGTAGCAAACGAATTTTTTTGGGATGAAGGCTTGTTGCAGATTAAAAGATCTTGAAAAATTATGTGAAATAAAAAAAATTCGCTACAATCGGATGACCGAGCACAAAGTTACGTTTGTTTGAAGTTTCAGTGCTACGTCGGGCATTCACCGCGGCCGTCAACCGCGGTTATGCATTCACCGCTTTGGTCTGCCGCGGTGAATGCATTCACTGCGGTTGACAACAGCGGTGATGCCCAAACATGTATATTTTGGAAAATAAAATTATAACGTGTGTATTTTGGGAATTTTTTTTTAAAATATATGTATTGTAGGATTTTTTCCTCTTTCTCACCCAAAAAAATATTCGTGCAACTTACCGTTGGAAGGGCGGAGACTGGAATCGGAATAATAACGAAAATAAAGAAAACGAAACCCTAAACCCAAAATCAATCCTCTTTCTCAAGCGTTTAGGGCCGTTCCCTCTCATCGGAAGGAAGCTTCGTGGGGCGTGGGCTGCTCAGTCTCTCCGTTTCCCCGTACCATCGGAGGACGAAATGGTATAGATAGTCGATTTTGGTCGACGGTGGACGACAGTCGACACTCTTTCTTTCGGGTGTTCCATCCATTTCGATCGATTCGATTGAACCTGCTTTTTTTCTCCTTGGTTGCTCCGTTGCCTTCCTCGCTCACGCCGCCACCGTCTCCCGCTCTCCTTGCTCTAATATCATTTGTCTCTCTGTATCCAAAGTCGTTGACTTGGCTGTTGTGGCGCCTCCGCGACGCATTTCCTCTTAAAGGCGTCTGCCTCCATTCAAAGGAAACTCCCTCTCCTAACTCCATCCTCCTGTTCACCATCATGTTGCTAAGGTCACTCGTCCTACAGCCTCGTTCCCTCTGGTTATTTTTACTTTCCTGCTTCCGTTGCCTGTTACCTTCGCTCAGTAGTTTTTTTTTTTTTTTTGTGGGTTCATTGTGCGTTGTTCTATCCGAGCATTTCTTGCTCTCTGTATCTTAGGATATTCCTCAATTTCTATGGTTTAAATCTTCCATCTTTCAAATCTCCAGCTTTATCCTCAGCTTCCAGTCTTCCTGTTGAAGAGTAGCTCCTGAGTTTGTTAACATTTTCGATTGCCAGGAGCTTAAGGTGAGTGTTTGGGCTTTCATATCTCCTGTGTTTATTGCCAGTGTAGAGGAGAAGATGTTGATGTAATATTTGATTTGGGTTAGCTGGTCTTGTTACCCTGACACACTTGTTGAAGAGATTGGTTGTATTGTGGATGTTGATTTTTGTGGTGCCTATCAGTCGTATGATTAGAGTTTTTTGCATTGCCAATTTGCAGCGTTTATTTGATTGTAAAGGTGGCTCTATTTGTCTTATGATGAACCGTTCTTTGTTTAAGGAAAACAGAAAGCGGAAGGGTTGTACTTGCAAGGTTAGGAAATGGAACCGGGTGTTTTGGATGATATTATTCGGCGGCTTTTAGACGTTCGCAGTAGACCTGCGAAGCAGGTCCAGTTATCCGAGGCTGAAATCAGGCAACTATGCGGGGCATCTCGAGAGATCTTTTTGCAACAACCCAATTTGTTAGAGCTTGAAGCACCCATCAAGATTTGTGGTACTTTTACTACTACATTATGTTCTCATATGCAATTGAATGAACTTGCATTGTTTTTTAGTTTCTGATCTAGCTTTGTTTTCATTACATGTGGTTCCTCTCAACCTTTAATTCCACATTCGAAGCTATTCTTTTCTGGTTGTGCATTTGCTTGTCAGACCAGTTGATATGCAGTTATTGCATTTGTTGGTTTAGCTATAAGTTCCCTGACATATGATTATATAGTAGCGGCTAATGACTCCCTCCTATCTTTGCGTGCCTCTCATAACTATCAACTGTCCCCTGCCAGCTTCCACTCGTAAATGGAACCATTGTGATTTTAACCCTGGGGGTATAATATCCGAGAGTGAATCTTTGAATTGATTCAGTGCTTCATCATTCCTTGTTGGCGATTCTAGTTGTTGCATAACAACTTGCATGAAGCTCAATGTGTTCACATTAGACCTCCCCCCCCCCCCCCCCCCCCCCCCCCTCCCTCCCCTAATACCCCAGTCAATCTCATTCAGCACACTTGGTCATGGCAATCCGCCAAAAAATTTACGAAGGCAACAGCTTAACAATGAAATGCTACAACCTGCGACTAGAATGATGTGGAAACATTAGCAAACAACTGAGTGTTTTGAATTGACAAACCATAGGAAGCATTTCCTCCCATGTAGCTGGCCAGACCTGAATCAGACCTCCAAAGACAGAAGCTACAAAATATGTTGATTATTTGCAGCATAAAAATAAGTAACTTGTTTCAGTAGCCTCGTCACAAAGAACACAAACATCATTTGTAATCTTCCCCATTATTTAAGCTTATAACTTGTAGCTGTACGGTTCACAATCACTAGCCATGAGAGGAAGCAATACTATTGGGGAGAGTATGCTTACTGCAAAGAACATTCTGCCAATTTACGAATGCCTTCTTCTTTCGAATAGAGAATCTTCAAAGTCTCCTTTCATTGATTGAAATTCTTCTTTCATGATGGTCTGTTATCTTTTATGTCTCCTAAATACCATACTAAACGCTTTCATCCTGAAGAAGAATGGAAAAGGAGGCTGGGGCCTTATTTGTTACTTATTTTAGCTGGTTTCTTTCTTTATCATTCTATCACTTAAAAAATCACGCAAGTTTCGTGAAAATCTACTCAACCTGACTGATAGGCATTGTTGGTCATCTGCAGGTGATATCCATGGTCAATATTCTGATCTTCTTAGGCTATTTGAATATGGCGGATTACCTCCACATGCAAACTACTTATTTTTGGGCGATTATGTTGATCGAGGCAAGCAAAGTCTTGAGACAATATGTCTTCTACTTGCATATAAGATAAAGTATCCAGAGAACTTTTTTCTCTTGAGAGGAAACCATGAGTCTGCTTCAATTAATCGTATATATGGTTTCTTCGACGAGTGTAAAAGGAGGTTTAATGTCAGAATTTGGAAGACATTCACAGATTGCTTTAACTGTCTCCCAGTGGCTGCTCTAGTTGATGAGAAAATTCTCTGCATGCATGGTGGCCTTTCCCCAGATTTGCATAATTTGGATCAAATCAGAAACTTGGCTCGCCCAACTGATATACCAGACACAGGTTTGCTCTGTGATCTGCTGTGGTCTGATCCTAGCAAAGACGTTCAGGGTTGGGGTATGAATGACAGGGGAGTTTCATTTACTTTTGGTCCTGATAAGGTGGCCGAGTTCCTTCAGAAGCATGATTTGGATCTGATATGTCGCGCTCACCAGGTTACTGCCGCAATTTTTTGTTCATGTTATTATTCCACATTGTTATCATGTGCTCCTCATTGACCCTCTAAGACGGTGAACTACATACAATAAGGAACTTTTCCTTGCCCTTTTATGATCAATCTTGGTTGTGGCTGCTTGTGATTCTTGGCTGTATTTGTTGGTCTTATGGTAGTTATCCCCTACAATCTCATTTTGCTTACATCCATAGCCTTTCCCATATTGCCTTCACTGGTATATTTCCGGATCTCATCTTCTCATGGAGGGATGGATTCTTGATAAAATCCTCTAGCATTTGGTGTCTCTTTTTTCTCTTTTCTAGAGTCACTGGAGCTGTGTGGATGATATTCTTCGCGATCTGGGCCTTTGGTCGACCGTTTCACTAAAATTTTCTTTTATGGTTGGTGCAGGTTGTGGAGGATGGATATGAGTTCTTTGCCAACAGACAGCTTCTAACCATATTTTCTGCTCCTAATTATTGTGGAGAGTTTGATAATGCCGGTGCCATGATGAGTGTTGATGAGACACTTATGTGCTCATTTCAAGTATTAAAACCTGCTGACAAAAAGTCAAAGTTCAACTTTGGCTAATGCACACGCTACCAGTGTTTAAGGTAATTCTGCAGTTGCTTGAACTGATTGTCTTTCCATCCTAGAAGTTTGTTAATTAAGTCTTGATGGTACCATACATTACTCTTTGTGATAGTTGCAAAATACTAAATTACACTTGTAAGGTGTGCTGAGTTATGTGGTAATTTTGGGAGTTAGTGGCTGTGTAAGTTTGAGTTATGTACTGGTTTGAGGAGTGTAGGGGGTTTGGATGCAGTTTTTGAATGAATAGATAGATTTCAAAATGTTAAATTGCTGTAATGATTAGATTTAAAGATAATAAGGACGTATGCTAGAATTTTTTTTCAGTGAGAACCATATGTTAGAATTTTAAATCCATTGCTGGTTGAAATCTGTCAAGTGATAGATCTTGAAATCTACATTGCTCGAATCTATAGTGATTTTATGTAGACAAGTGAATTCATCTCAAATTCATAGTCTGATTGATTTCGGTCCAAATTCATTGTAGAAAGTCCAGCACCAAAAGTATGACGATAAACCCTCGGATTTACTATTGGCGATGGGAATTGGGTGAGTGTTTAAGAATGAGCAAGATGCAACCCAATGGGAAGGTTAAGGTGCTTTGAGCTCATTATTGGAGGAGGAAAGGGTGGAATTGGAAGGCTTGAGTTTGAAGGTGGAAATGATGTGAAGCCGGTGAGGCTGACATTGGATTACTTGATTGCTTCCCCATAATTCTTCCTGTATTAATTCCACAACAAGAGTTAACTCGGAGTTACTTGATTGCTTCCCCTAATTCTTCTTGTTTTAATTCGACAACAGGACTGTTAAGTCGTATCTTTCCGCTAATTTCGTGTTATATCCCAATTTGAAACTGAAATAGGAAAACGTAAATGTCCTTTGATGCTCCATATGGTAGTGTTATTCTCATGAAGTAGGTAGGTTTATATGAGAGAACTAGATAAGGTAAATGGAGGTAGTGGTTTAGCGGAGGCTTTATCAGTAAAAGTATTGGTTTCTTTAAGGGTTAATATATTATTTTGGCATGAACTATGATCATATAATCAATTTTGGCCCGTGGTTTCAGAAATTAACATCATAGTTTCAACTATGCAGCATATAGACTCAATTGGTCCGACATATTATCTTACCGTCAATTTAGATGGTCAACACACCATGTCATTGCCTCGTCAGCCTAAAAATTATTTAAAAAAATCATATTCAAATTATTTTTCTAATTTCTATTATTTATTATTTTCAAATTTACCATAATTTAAAAATAATAAATTATATAAAATAAAATTTATATTTTACCTTTTGGGATATTTGAAAATGATAAATTTTATAAATTAACAAAAAATTATCAAATTAATTTTAAAAATTTTAAAAAATATGATATAAATTATATATTTTATTTTTTGTGTAATTTTAAATATATAAAAAAATTTGATAATTTTTGGTTAACTTATAAAATTGATCATTTTCAAATTACACAAAAATAAAAAATTTATGTTTTTTATAAATTATTTTTTGTTAATTTGGTTATAAATAATAAAAATTTAAAAAATAGTTTGAATTTGAATTTTTTTAATGATTTTTAGACTGATGAGACAATGACATGGCGTGTTAACTAACGATCAATGGTGTTGACCATCCAAATTGACGGTCAAACTAGGTGTCGAGCCAATTGAGTCTTTATGTTACATAGTTGAGCCCAGGATGTTAATTTCTGAAACCACAGGCCAAAGTTAGGGATGACAAAAATATCCGTAACCGTGGATATCCACACGAATCCAGCCTAATCGGGTAGGGTAAAACCCGAACCCGAAGGACGTTTAATGGGTATCGGTAAAACCCGAACCCGAATATTTCGGGTAATGGGTGGGCATGGGTTTCTCACTATCCAACCCGAACCCGCCCGATTATACACAAACATATATATTTTGTCTAGAAATAATCATTATTTTTCTCTAACATATTTTATATTTATCATATAAATATAATATTTTCATGAAATTATGTTGTTTTAATTAATTTTCTTCATTCTAGTGAATTATTGTCATACTTTTCCTATTACGTAATATAAGAATACGTGTGAATGTTAACATATTGGTTGAATTATGAAGAGAAATTATTACCCATGGATAACCGTGGATACCCGAAACCCGAACGGGTATGGGCATGGTTTTAATTTTTTACCCATTTCAATGTGGGTATGGGTATGGGTAAAACCCGAACTACTTTGGGTAGGATAATGGATATGCACTATCCGCCCCCGATCAGACCCATTGCCATCCCTAGCCAAAGTTGATTATATGGTCATAGTACAGGCCAAAATAAGGTATTAACCCTTTCTTTAATGGAATCCAGGAAACTGGTAAAAGCATCAAAACCAATCTGCCTGATATTATCGGTTCTGTTTTTACAGTGATTTTTCGGGTTTTCGATCAGTTTGTTTTACGAGCAGTTAGTGCGAGAATTTGCGGATAATGCGCATTCCTATTTCGTGCAAAATTTTCAGATGTTGCAATTGCTAAACTAATAACAAAGTTTTGAAAACATAGTGGACAACATATGGTGTAAAAATTAATATGTTCCATTGATGATTTACAAGATAACTAATGCTTTTGTAAGGTCAGATTAGTTTATATCTATTAGTGTTATTTAAGTTAGGCTTCATGGGTCTGGATTTTCAAGTTTAGCGGTTATCATCTCGAAGATGTACATGATTCAAAAAGAATATAGCCCTCTCACAAGAGGCTATGCCACAAAAATAATAAACCACACAACCGTGAGCGAAGTGACCTTGTGGTTGTGAGAAGACGACCATGGGGCTGCGAGGATAACCAATGAAGGGTGTAATATAGGGAAGCAAATAATAAAATGTCAACCCGTGACACTAGGTTTGCTATTTCTTCGCGAACTTAACTATTATCTAGCCAACAAGGTATGATGTTGATTAGCAAACTAATGAAGCAAATCAAAGTAAATTGGTTCAAATTCAAAAGTGAGAAAACAGTAGGATTGATTGATTCAATACTTTTACTACGAACAGTCCTTAGCTAGTTTGGAATCCATATTCGAGCTAACCAAACTCATTTAGATGAACTTTCCGGAGGGAGAGTTTCTACAACCGGTATAGAACACTGAATGCAAAACAGTAGACTCTCGCTATTGAGACACACTGAATACAATGTTATGATGCGACTCACTCTCATGTTATCGACTCACAAACGTTTCAATTGAAGATGCTCTATTGACCTAAAAAGATTTTCTCTCTCATAGTCAAAGCACAATTGAAGGAGTATGATCAAGACTCATGCAATTAATTATAAACATCAATCAAATAGATAGTAGAAATTCATAATCATAGGGTTCAAGCAACAATCAATCTAACACATGAAATTAGGGTTCCTCACACCTAATTGAGAGAGAAACTACTCCACGGAGATGAAGGAAAACCCATGAGAATCAACTACCTTCTTCATTGAGAGGTTGAAAACCGACTTCTCTTTCTTCGATCGTCACTCCTTGGTACTTGGGCTGCACTCCAATGGTGATTGGATGGCTCTAGGAAGCTCCAAGGGTGTGTTCTTTATCACTTCTCTCTCTACACTCTTCTCAACTCATTTTGCCATCTAAAAAACTCGGTCCCCTTTGAAATTGCTCGTAAAAATCCTCTTATCACCTTATTTGCCCGACTCACGGTCAGAAGTCACGACCGTGACATATATCAGGTCCTGGCATTGACTAAAAGTGCATCGTATCCTCGAGTTGAAGTGCAGAAGTCAAGAGTAGGGAGAAAATGTCACGGTCATGGTCGTGACTTGTGAATGGCCAACCGTGACATAATAACTGTCGTATGGTGTTTGTCGAACATCATAGACTGGATGATGAATGTTATGGTCATGGCTGTGACTTGTGAAGCTAGATCGTGACTTGTGAAATCGCCCTTGATATTTGGAAAGTCGTGGCTCATGTTGAATGTTACGGTCATGGTCGAGACTTGTGAAGCCTAGTCATAACTTTTGACATTTTTGCTACCTTTGGCCTAAATTTGCCTCTAAATGTCCTAAAAATCATTCTTGTCCCATGAGGCTCAAAATATGTATCATTATGTCGGTAGAATGAAGAGACTCCTTATACCATTGAGAATTTCTTATACCACTGAGACTCGGATTGCTTAACTTGAGGAGGAAGCAAGGCATACTCGCAAAGATTCCTTCGGCTTGGGCCAGTGGCGTTGGGGTCGTCGTGGATTTTCTTCCTCCCTTGGGTTGATTGGCCCATAAGTAAATCCTCCGTGAAATCCAGCACGACTTGATGGGTTCGGTCCAACGGCAGTTAGCACCATCACAAAGCCATCGTGGGTTTCTTTGTGTGTTTGGGATGAAATTTTCTATAGTGGAATCCTCTTGGGCTTTTATGACGACTTCATGAAAGTTTCCCTCGATTTGGCCTCGTTTAATGGACGAATTATCTTAATCTTCTAGTAGTTGTTCCTCTTGATCTGCCAATTTGATCCAATAGTTATTTCAAGTCATCATAAAATGTGTTTGACCTTGAAAAACACAAAAGAATACAAAAAAGTCTTAAAATTGTACAAATGCACATTTAGGTATATTAAAAGCATATTGACCACATAGTCATGATATCTGCCTAAAATTTGACAAAAATATACTAAAGACGCATTGATAGAATTGATAGAAGAGGGAAATATATAATATATGGGAATGATGAACACTATAATTTGAGAGTCATCATTCTCCTTCCTTGGTGGAGAGATCTAAGTTATAAAAATGTTGATCTATGAAGGAAAAGGCCATTCAACGGTTGCAACGATGTAAACAATGGTGTCTGTCGTGGGTAGCCAAGGAGGTCTTGTTAAAGGCGGTGGTAAATGCTCTCCCTATTCAAGTCATGTCATATTTTTAGCTGCCTAAAACACTATGCAAGGGTTTGGACAGGCACCTGGCACATTTTTTTGTGGAGGCTAAACATGGTGAACGCAAATTCATTGATTATCCTAGAAGTCGTGCCCTAGCAAAGCTGAAGGTTGATTGGGTTTTAGACGACTTGAGGAGTTTAACCAGACTCTTCTCGATAAATTTGCTTGGATGCTCTTGAAATAGAGCCCGACTCTTTGCTCACTCGGCTTCATAAAGGACGGTATGCCTAGGCGCTTTCTTTTTGGTAGCGTAGCCTGGCTCACTTCCTTCCTGGGTTGGTGAGGAATCCTCCATGGACGTGAACTGCTGCTCTTGATAGAACTCCATGCTTTCTAATAAGCTAGTTTGGCATAATGCGGCGTCTGGGGTGCACTCGGTTTCGGTTAGATCAGGATACCATTTAGCTATGGACTTATGATGATGTCGAGAGGTTGGCGCTAAACCATGAGTGCGGCTTTGGGATAAAGGATTTTGGAGCAAACTTTGGGGAGCATTGATTCCTCCTAAGCTAAGATTTTTTTTCTACGGCAAATTATACGACGAGTACTCCCCACAGAAGAGGGTTTGACGACTCGTGGCGTGGAATGAGTGGCATTGTGCCTGACATATCTTCGAGATGTGAAATCGTTGGGGCATCTGTTCTTTAAATCGTTGGGAGAGCTATTTTGAAAGAAATCTAGTTGCTTCATCATTGCTTTCATTACTTTTGTGTCCGCTTTTTTGTGTCCGCTTTATTGGTCTTAGAGAGAGTAGGGTGGGGTGGAGGCCAGAAAAGCTTTTTTATTGTTCACTAGTTTGGTAGTCCTGTAGACGCCCATGTGACTATAGTGTAACTTCTTTTTCTTGATAATATGAGAGTAATCTTCTAATAAAAAATGGAATTTATAAGATTTTAAGGTTCATAGAGTAAAATCAATATCAATTTTTTTGGTATCATAAAATCATAAGTTTGGCTAGCTTGTTTAATTGTGTTCCAAATTTCATTTTCTGATAAATCCACCTCCCATCTCCAGTAGAGCAGTAGAATGGCAGGAGGTAAATTTTCCTGAAGTCTGAACAGAACACCAAAGACGTTGGCAATGATCAGTCAGTCAGCATAGCACCGTGTGAATTGTCTAAAATCCTGCGGTGTGGCCCCAAAAAACGGAAACTTTCAATCTGGATGTGCTTTGTCTCCTCTGGAAATTTGCCACCGGTGGAAGAAAACCTTGTTTCAATGGAAGAAATGAATTGAGCCCGTATGAGTTGGAAAGGCGAGATGTGTATTTACAGTCAGCCAAAAGAAAGAAGAAAGAACAAAAGAAAAGAACCCTACAACGCTACAAACGGGTCGCTGTCACATCCTCGGCCTCCTCTGAAAATGCTCACGAACAAGACCTGATTCATCAATCAAAATTACCTCCCATTGGAACGGTTTTGAATCTCTTCATTAACAAGTTTGGTTAATAAGTCTCGATTATCAGCAGTCGGCGCCGTCATTTGATTCAAAAGACGATTGAGTTTGCTTAGTTCCTCGGGGTCTGCCTTCTTGAATACCCCTCTCAGTATCTCATCTACCTCACCATCAGCTCCCCCGTTACTTGGTTTCTGGGATGCTTGACTTAGAGAATGACGTGGTATCTGCCCTTGCGGCCGCGAATAGGGCCTCGAGTCCCAATACTCTGTACAAACTCTGTCATGGTCCAATGCTTCGATTGCCTGTTCAATAAGTTTTAACTTGAACGTTAAACAGCAATGCAAGCAGTGAATCCCTCAGGAGGTTAACACTGTTAAGAACCTATCCGACAAGACTCTTTTTCGGTAGCAAAACACAGAGCAGACAGTTTAACAAACTTTACCTGGACGATTGTAGGGGATGAGAACCCAAACATTTCGAAGCCATCTAGGCTCCCGGGAGGTTGTAAGGGAGCAAGATTTGGTTTACCCATTTTATACTGCTTTGTTATCTCTTGATTCACCCTCTCTCTCACCATTTCCCAACATCGGGTAGCCGAAATGTGAACGAATACCTCCGCTGGACACTGCTCAAGGGACACCTGAAAATTATGTTCATATATTCAGAACTTATTAGATCATCTGGACAACAAAGAAAGATTCTTGTTTCCTTTTTATTCAGATATGAAAAGCTCTCTTTTCATTCCGAAACCCCCCTTGAAACCCTTCAGTTGATATTTAACATTTGTGCATCTCTGAACCGTACTAGTTTGTTGGACAGTTGAGTCAGAATGAATATAAAATCAAATATGAGTCTAGTTTTAAAGTTCCACCGAGAAGGAAATTACCATAAACAATGGTCCATTTCTTCCAGAATCCAGGATTTCAGAGACATAGTAACACATACTCGTTGGATCCAAGACACTGATATACTTAACCCGGCTCCTATATCCTGTATCAGATAAAAATAGTTAAGCACAAACAGCCGATCATTCCTCACTAGCACCGCCAGAGGACTATTGACTACAAATTCTAACTAACACAATTCACGCAGCATACCTTTGGGAAAAATTGCCTGACTGTTACACCAAGTATTCCCAGAAAGAACAACTCCAAACTCCTGAGGCTCGACATTGCAATTTATCCTGCGCACGACCTTAGCAATACGGGGGCCCTTCTGGCGCAAACAACGATCCAAATTACTCTGCAAGCAAGATGGACTCACTGTTGTAGTCTTAGTCAAGTCCATAGGACTAGAAGTTGCACTTATCCCCATCATCCTATCTTCATAGCTAGATTTTCCATGGCTATATTGATTCGGCTGCCGGCTTCCAGCATCTCCTATATTGTCACCATTACAGGTTGTTTCACTTGAATGGAGAGAATCCACAATACCCCTACCAAATCCTGTAGTGCTTGAACCAATTAGACAACTATTAGGTTGATTATAAGATTCCAAAACTGCCCCAGGGCTTTGATGAGACTCTTCTTCCTTCACCGTCACAGCAGCACTGCTTAAACTTTGACTATTATTGGAGGATGAGCAAATGGAGCCCTTTCTCACAACAGGTGCAGCAGCAGCATTGGGATAGTCATGGTCGTTACATGGGCTATCACCTGAACAAGATAGCTTATCAGAGAGGTCCGAATGCTTAGTGCGAAAGTCCTCTTTCCCCTTGGCTCTTTCCAGAACTTCCTTTTTTGGAGTAACCCCCTCATCATCACTAAGAAAAATAACTTCATCGTGAACCAAATTCGAGGATTTTCGTGCTTCAGACTTCCCTGAAACATCCACAGGACAGGACACCTCTTGCGTGGTTAAACCTGGTATAGACATATTTGCTTCTGTAGACAAAATACTGGGTCTTTTTCTCAAGGTTAATCTGATGACTCCCTTCTCCATTGCTTGAGGACTGCAGGATGCTGATGATGCCTTCACATCTTTGCCAGATACAGTTTCAGGTAGTCTCTGTTGGTGGTCTGAAGTTGAATCACCAAGAATTCTAGCTGATGCCAATGTGACATCATTAGAGATCCCTTTCTCCTTGGTCTCCTTCACGAAATCCTTCGCTGATTGTGAATTCATCCCTTTAACTAACAATGATGCTTCGGGAAAATGAGACACCTTACCATCTTGAATGTTCTTCCTACCAGCGGCAGGAGAAGTGAGGGCTAGACCAAGATCCGATCTTGCCCACCTGTACACTGCGCTCAATTTTCCTTCCAATGCCTCCACAAGGATATCCAATTCACTGATTTCATAGCGAAAGAGGAAATATCTGGCACCTGGAGCGCATGAGCACAGCTGATTCGCATGATTCAAACATGTGTACCTGTCTGGAGAACACCGGCATCCTGCCGCAGAGAGGTGTAAATCAAAGAGGCAAAAGGTGCATTCCCTTTCACAAGTTGCATCAAAGTTGCTGGCCATCTTAAGTGTCTGCGACGACTTGCAGAGGATCGCCCTCCTTGTCCGCTCCATCTCCAGGCGTGTCTATACAAAATTATCAGCGTAAGAGGAATAAAGAGACAATATTTTGGCTACACATAAAAAACAAGAAGAACAGGTTCTATTCATATATGCATGCATGGCGACTGTCAAAAGATGAACTCAACACACTGATTGCTTTATGATAATAGTGATACCCAAAACCTGCCAGATTTCTAGAATCCCAAATATATAATACCAACCACCCACGAACATGCTAAAAACCAGCTATAACGTAACATAAGAAAGACGAAATTTACCTTAAGTGCTTTAGCTAATATTCCATCCTTTCCACAAACTTCTTTCCACCTCAAGTTATCTGCAGTGTTCCGCTTCAGTAAATTGAGTTGCCACTGAGCTTTCACTGCTTCCCTTGCAGCTCCTAACAGTAGTTTATCGTGCGAAATGGATGTCCGTCGTCCTTGATCACGGTAAAGCTCTACCGCAATCTGTCCATGGGGCAACCAGTCAACAGGGGCTACATTTACAGCCTCCGCACAATTGAAACCGCTATTAAAACCAGCATGGTATGCCCGAGGAAAGGTCAAAACAAACTCTCCAGCATTCTGTGCACAGCGATAGACTGGTACACCTTCAGATTTTAGTATCGAAGGTGAAAGCTGCGTCACCTATGTGCCAAAATAAAACATCAAATATAGCATCAGAAACTTAGGATAGAACCAATCCTGAAGTTTCATACTTATCCACCATAAACCAGAAGCATGTATGATTTGACTAAATTGTGCTAGGTAGCTTAGCCATATCTTTTCTTAAACTACTAATTTAATTCAATTCAAGCTGGGTAAGACCAGAAACCAGAGTAACATTCCCAAACTTGCAATCCAAGAACTTGGTTCAGCTGAAAGATCCACGTATCAACTCAATCACAAGCTTGGTGATCAGCTTTGCTTTATCTACCATGGATCGATAATCTCAACAATCACAGAAAAGAAAAGAACAATAGCATGATTATTGCTAAACCACTCCTAAAGTCCAACTTAAGCAATAAAAGTTGTCAATGCACAAGTAGTTGAGGAACACGTTGCAATTGACTGATTGAGACACCATCTTAGCCCTAGAAGTTGCTGCTGACACAAATGGATTACAAGGCATAAGCAAGTTTAATGGCATAGAATGGTTGGAGTACCAGCTTTAACTTATATATCACTTCCACCCACATATAGATATTTAACAAAGCCGCCAGGAGAGATGTTCTTACTAGCTTATGAAGCAGATCAGGCTGTTCGTCAAAGAGATCAGGCAAATGCTTTCTCATCGCCTCTTCCAATTTTACAGCATCCTTGCCAGGTACTCCATACCACATTTTTGGAGCACCCCAATGCAAATAATTAAGTGAATACAAGTGATGATCCTCAACATGCTGCATTCAGCCACCCCAGATGGAAATAAAAAAACACGATCAGGTCATGAAAAACAGCAACAAAGAAATAAGTGTACAATGCATTACTAGAATCAATGGCAAGCCAGTAGAGAAGTTAAAGGCCTAAAACCATTGACTGATCTAACATTCAGCAGCTTTAACAGCAGTACAGTAGAGCGGCGTTTGCAGATTCTTTAATCACGACTGACTTGCATCTATAATATATATAAAAATAAAAGAACAGTTTCCAAAGGATTACAAAACAGTTCCAAATAAGCCATGCTCAAAAGGCACTCAAAACAAAACAAGATAAAAGGCGCAGGTGCATCAATCATCATACCGACAAAGGAGAAGTGAAGCAAATAACACCCCAAATATGCATCTCACCATGAAACAGCAGAATGCATACAATTCATCAATTCCATCAGTATTAATACTGCTCTATGGCATGGGTTAAGGTTTTGCCTACAATTAAACTAAGACTTACCCAACAAAAGGACGAAAAGCACATGCCAATGTATAGCCAAGGAACTAGTACACCAGTAATATCACCACTTTCATAAGACAGGACAGATCCAGACAGCCTTGGGAAGTTATTCAAGTTCCAGCCTGATTTACTATACTGGTCCTGCACAGCAGAACCAACTTCACCAGACATTTTGGGAAACCCACTACCAAAAACGCCAGTTTCGAGATCAGCTCCATACAGAACCTATAAAAGATAAAGAAACAAGTAAGGACCAATTCATTCCACAACTCTTGTCCGAAAAGAACGATGCAACATGAACAACTACGCCCTGTGTAGCCGCAAGATTCAGCTGTTCGGAACTATACCTCGATTTCTTCAGTAGCCTTCTCTATGATTCTCCAATATTCACCCTCAACATTCTCCACCGTAGGCTCCCAATTTACAAAGGATGATTTGTTTGCAAGATCTGCATCCTTCCTGAAGTACTGGGCCTTGAAATCATCTGCATACTTCTGAAATGTACTCAGATCAAATTCTGGACCAGGATCAAACCCAAATGTCTCAGCCAAGCCAACCGCAGAAGTATCACCAGACTCGGATTTACTCCCAACATCAGGCCCACAATCTAATGGCATTCTCATACATATTCTCCTTTTCTTCCTGGAGTGATTATTGAACTTGGATAACTTTTTCATAGAACCTCGATTTTGTAGTTTGTCAACCCTCTGAACACGAGTTATAAATTTGGAGCCCTCCCATATACTCTTTTCCTTGAGGGGACAGGGAGGTTTCCATGAAGGAGGCGGGACAATCCGACAGATACCATAAGGTTCAGCTTTAAGCCGTATACTAGCTATATAATTCAGGGTATCTTCAAACTCCTAGAGGAAAAGAGAAAGGAAATACAAAGTCAATCTCATGTCTTGACGGTATAAAAAAGAAAGAAACACACAGTATAAGCAACAAGAGATACTTCTTCTGTAGGGTAGAACACAGGAGCTTCCTCAAGATCAGGCCTGTGAGCATATTCAGGACGCCATCTGGCTGTAACCTGTGCCGTTGACTCAGATTTCAGTTACCAGACTTTCAGAATATAAGACATTAGGTAAAGGGTCAAACAGAATAAGCAATGGTTGTACATAACATATATAAAATGTCAATGAGTTGCAATGTTAAAATTGAATTCTCTACCAACATATGCAGCACGAAGCTGCACAGGACTGAACCAAAAAAAACAATTATCAAAAAAAGGTTGCCTTAGTAAATAACACTAACCTTTTGGCAATCCTTGCATTGTGGACAGCCGCGAACAACACCCTTAGGGAGACAAGTCCTTATATCGGGATTCTGAAACAAAACAAATTGTGGTAAGGCCAGAACAACACCGTTTGGAAGACAAGTCCTTAAATTCGGATTCTGAAACAAAAGAAATAGTCGTAAGGCCCGACATGTAGCAAATATTGAAGGAAAATAGAGCCTATATCACTAGTATTCCAAGACAAAGAGCTGCAATGTACAGTCTCCTAAGACTAACCAGATTAACGTCCACGCCGCCAGGATCATCATCTGTACAGCGATCTGAATGCCCATGATTTATCCAAGGCTTGCGCCTAAGAGACTTCGTGATTTTATTGGCATCACTATTTAGAGGTTCAGTTTTCACCTGAATGGATTGCGATCCACTGACACTTGTTGAGGCTGAAGTGCTTACTGCAATTCGACTAACATGCTCTGCTGCTGTATCAATTGTACAAGGCTCTGGTTTTACTTGCACTGACTGCAGCCCAGAAGTTCTGGCAACATCTATACAGCTAACACCATCTGGGCTTCCCCTCTTCCCCCCATCTTCTATCCTCTTCAAGGAAAATGGGGCGAATGACTCGAATCCAGGAGGAACTGCAGGAACTTCTTCATTCTCTTCCTTAACACAGACTCTCATGAGTTCAGTTCCCATCTACCTAAGGATACAAGCACAATAAACTATGAGTCCAAAGTAAGAAGTATCGCCGCCATTTCATTATCACAAAGTTCAAGTAAATGGAATGGAACGTCTGAATTGTGAAGCATCATCACCATTTCATCATCGCGGTATATGCAGCCTGAAGAAGTGTAATGAGTTTTCTACATCACAGACACCCTATCCTAGTTATTTGACATACCCTATCCTAGTTATTTGACATATTATGATCTAAGTGTACTTCAAAGCTAACACTGCTGAGGTGAAGGGCAGTCTATCTAACAAATGGTTGACATACACAACAAAATTTTGGCTGGAAACTTATGCAAAAGACCGACAAACTAATTAATTACTCCCCCAAAACATTTGTTAGATGACAGCTCTCATCTCAGATGAATGTTCATCGTGACCAGCAACGCTGGATGTGCTCTGAAGAGACATCGCTGAATTGAAGCAAACAAGATCAAGATATGCATGCATGATCAGATCAAAACAAATCTCAGTGAATAAATCGGTAGTCAAGAGTCGAGACCCTCTCGAGGAAAAAATAGTAATAAACAAAACAAACCTATTGGGTCTACACACATTGGATTTGGCAGCATAGATTATTTATAAAATAACTACCATATTAAGTTGCAAAAGACTGATCAAATTTCACAAACGTCAAGTAATATCTGAGTGTTTGAAAAATCAAATTCCCATATCCACCCTGGATCTCAAATCAAACAGGCAGTGTAAGAACTTTCTAAATTAGACCCAATTATATAAAAGGAAAACTAAAAGAAAGGCACTCATCAAAAGGAAAAAAAATTGAAAGAAAGATCCTCTCGGATTGGACCAAATAATGGTTAGGACGAAAAAAAGGCACAGATTAGTGCTTACAGTATGTTGATCCCAGATATTTCCTGGGTTCCAGTCAAAGCAGCAGAATCGAAAGTTTCCCCAGATTGTGAACCAGCCAAACAGAATAGACAGCTCTTTGCAGATGTACCAACTCAAGAAGAAGGATGGAAAAGATTCAAGCTGATTATAGCAGATCTAAATATCTAACCCTAACCCTAATCGAAACTCCATCACCTAGATAGGCCACATATTTTCTACTTTATTACGAAATTTTCCAAAATTTACTTTCTTCCTCCTGTTTCTTCTTCGGACGAAGAATCGTTCAAGAATTTACACCGAAGAGCAGAAACAAATTGGATATCCCAACTATGACTCAGTCTCACCCACAATTCATCATCATCGTAGTCTCAATTAAAAAAAAAAACAAAGAGCATCAGATGATAAAACCCTAACCCCCAACCCAGTGCAGGATTTCAAGAAATCAATCCAGGCATCAGAAATTTCCAAATTGCTGTCTAAGAAACGGTCAAAATAATGGTGGAAATTAATAAAAGCGATCAAGAACCCAACAAATAATAACTTGACAAACCAAAAAAAAAAAGAGGCAAAAACCTAAAAGGAAGCTGAAATTGGGAAGGTGCTCACAAGAGAAGAGAAGCCACAGGGAGAAGGGTAGATTCGGTAGACAAATTTTATTTTATCATCTAATTCGTAGTATTCGGCTGGGTCGTAGGCTAGTGTCCCACGAATCCCCCGTTTTCTCCCTTTCTTTTAATTTTTCCAAGGGATTTATATATCCGAAGGGCAATGTTGAAAATATAGAAGGTTTGGTCTTGAATGTTTAGAGAGAGAGGTAGAAAGTGAAGCTGGACGTGAGGTGGAAGGTTATCAAACTAGTTTATATCGTTGTGATAGTTTAGCATATGGTCGTCGGGTGGTAGAGGTGGTTATACGGTTCGATTAAATTGAGTCGGATTGCTTCGTTTCCGGTCCAGATTTGTTAGGAATATGAAGATTAAAGATAGGATTGGATAAAGTCTGGTCTTGATCCATTCCGGTATTGATTCGGTCTGGTCCCAATTCGGTCTTGATTTTAGATTGAGCTTGTAGAGATTTGAGTGGTCTGAGGTCTGAAAGGGTGGGAGTTGGTTAGGTTTGGGGTGTTGGACTCTCTTATCCAGTCTTTCTCCGATTTTCGGTCCGATTTTGAACGGTGTTTTACCTCATATCTATGTCAAGAACCAGTTGGTCCCAATAACTCGAGTTGTTGGGAGAGGTTCAATCGTGGATCATATACCACAACACTAACACGCCCCATCAAACGAAAGCCACTCACAAGAGTTTGAAGTTTGCACAGGTCTTAAGACAAGAATACCATGTGCTTAACAAATGGGGGTCACCGGGAATCGAACACAAGACCTCTCAGTCACAGAAGGCTCTGATACCATGTCAAGAACCAGTTGGTCCCAATAACTCGAGTTGTTGGGAGAGGTTCAATCGTGGATCATATACCACAACACTAACAATCTAAGCCCGAAGACGGATTAGATTGTTTGTTATCTGGTCCTGATCCGGTCTCAAAGAACAGATCAGATCAATTTAAATCAAATTAAAATTAAAAAATAATTATGTAAAAAAAGAGGACCAAACCTAAAAATGATTTGGACACAGGGCAAACGAAGGATTGACTTCGGTTGACTGTCTTATATGCAGCGGGCAGCAGCCGTCTTCTTCTCCGGCTAGGCAAAGGCGGCGATGTCAGGGCGGGTTGGAAAGGAGCGTCTTGGTTCCTTCTTCATTTCCTTCCCTCTTCTTCCTAATCTGCACACTTCCCTTCCTTTCCCCATCTTTGCAGCGGCAACGAGATTCTTTTGCTTCCGCAAGCTTCTATTATCTTCTGACTTCTTTGCAACGGCGAGATCGAGATGAGATGCAATGGCTAGTGAAGGCGGAGGAAGATGACGGTTTGAGCGGTCTCGGGGAGGGATGGCAGAGGATGGGGAAGATTGGCGGCGACAGCGGCTAGAAGCACAAAGGCCGGCGGCTGGAAGACCGAAGGTCGATGGTAAAGAAGTTTTGGCGGTGAGGTTGGAAAGAGAATAGAGCTGTGTTTGTTTTAGTTTAAACTTAAAATTTAAACATGACAATTATGTAAATATTGTCAACACTCTTTATACCGTTGTGTCGGTTTAGCAAGTAGAATTGTTCGACCAATGGTACAATCGGTATTTGCCGGTTCATGCCAGTTTAACAAAATATGTAGAAATGTGAAATATCATTAACAATAAATGAATTTAATCATATATATAAAACATATTTGAAGACAATTTACTTACAATTCATATGATAATTAATAAAATTACATATACCCATATTAAAATACAACATTTAATATCAATATCTAAACATTTATACTTAAATCCAATAAATAACATCAACATTTAAGGGGTCGTTTGCTTCGTGGATTCGAGAAAAACCCATTATTTGCTTACACGTTTTTTAGGGACCAAATACGTGGGACTCACAGATTTTATGGGTCCAAATTTGTTGACCACACAAACTAATAAATCCCACATGTTGACGTGGTATTTGAAACATGTAATAAATCCATGATGGATTTTATCCATATACACTCATTAACTTTTAACATTCCTAGGTTGTCCTTACATTTACATATTGTACCTTATAATTAATCAATTAATCAACTCGTTTACCACCAAAAAATTTGGATAGATCAATTTGCCTGAGGTATTTTGAATTTGTATGTTTTGAGTCAATTTCAATTGCCTAGGGTGGGGGTACGTAATTTTAATTGACTTATTTTAATTGCCTCATTTATAAAATGAGACAATTGATCAAATTGTCTCATTTCTAGATTGATCCATCCAAACAACCCCTTATATTTTTTATGCCCATTCTTGTGTTCTAGTTTCCTTCGACTATGAAACGTGTAATTATTTGTTCTCTCGGTTCTAATATATGTTGATATATCTTACTTTTGAAAAGGAGAACAAAGAATTGGTAACTAATAGGGTAATGTCTATTTTTTACGTTAAAAGTCAAAACCAAATTTCCCCGTTTTTTTTTCAACATTATACTTATTAGTACGCATTGTACTTGTTTTATGCATATATATAATAAACATGAAAAACAAATAGAAATGATAGTAAGGTAATCTTGGACTTTAAGTTCACAATCCCAAACCCTTAAATCCATGATAAAACATCTCAACAAACAAAGTATTGTTACAAATCCATAATGTCTCAAATACTTGATAAATCATTGAGTTTTTAAATTACAAAACCCTCATTTTTAAATCCATGAAGTGAACGACCGTAAATTTTAAACTAAAAAATAAATGATAGATTAGTTTTTATTAATTAAATTCACTAAAATAACATTGTTTTGATTAGAGACAGATAATAAATAAATCATGTCGGTCATACCAATGGTGTAATACCAACTTCAAGGCTAAGATCTGGTGATTAGGAGGGGTCCCTTAGTCACTTGCCTAAGTCGATCTCAGTCCTTCACACTCATTAAAATCTAATGGCTCAAATTAATTTAATTTAATGAAGGGTAATGTAGTAATTACATGATTTTTAAATTTTTTAATTAAAAAATAAATAAAAATAAACAAATTTGGCTGGTTGCTACCTTCTCCCTTCCGCGGTCCCATGACGACCTTTTATTTCACGGCGACCACCAGGATTCCGACGTCCCCTTCCTGCCGGCGTCCCCTTTCTTTTTGCGAGGGGATTTGGACTCACAGAGAGAGTCATTTTTCTTGTGCGGGGGTATTTGGGGGAGATAGATAGATTGAGAGAGAGAGAGAGAGAGAGAGAGAGAGATTGTCATCGGTGAATTTTCCGGCAGCGACAGAGAGGATTTTCCGGCGACAGCGTCTATTTGGTTATGTTTGTCGGTTGATTTTGTAATGTTTGGCGCTCATCATTTGAAATGAAGTGAGGCGTGTACTAAGATATCTCAAAGGCACATTGTATTGAGTTATAGTGGCTTTTCATCCATTTTGGAAGGATTTGTTGATGTTAGTTGGATTTCTCATGTTAAAGGTGATACTTCAACATTGAGATGGGTCCTCTTGCTTGGGGGAGGCGCCATATTTTGGGCCTCTAGAAAGCAAACTTGCATCACTAGTTCCACTATGGAGTCAAAGTTTGTGGCCTTGATTTCTCTTAGAGAAAAGACATTATTGCTGAGATGCTTGGTTTATGACATTAATTTATGGCAAAACCAATCTCACCTATTACTATTCTTAGTGATAGTAATGCTACTTTGGCTAAGGCATATAACCAAGAGAAAATGACAAGTACGGTCATGTGGGAGTAAGGCACGGTAAAATCTGTGAACTGATCATTCATAGAGTTGTGTCTAGACAATATGACCAGACTCGAGATAATTTGGTTGATCATTTGACGAAATGGTTAATTAGTGACTTGGTGATAAAGTCTGTGAATGGGATGGGTTAAAAGTCCATATAATTTCTGGTACTGTGACACCCAATTCCGCTCTAATACAACGTTAGAGGCTGAATTCAATGTGGAAAGCTTATTATCAGAAATTGAAGCACAAAATTTATCATCCCGAGGTATGTGCTTGTTATCCTGCATGAGAGAAGAGGATGAAGTTCAAAACTTCTTAATTGAATCTTTGACAAAGTGTATTATGCGGTTACACATATAAAAGATTCGACCTACGTAAGCATGACGTGTAGCCACTTCAAGAAACCCGGACTTTGGTTTCGTGTGCGCTTATGAGAAGGATTGGACACATGGCGGTTAATAGTGTCAAGGCACTTAGAAGTTTGAAAACTTAAGTGTATATTATCTTCAAATATTCATATGAGTCAATGGGTTCAATCGTTAATGATGCCCTTTGAATTCGAGTATTTGTCAAGTGTAATATACTAAGATGAAAATTCAATCGTCACGACATTTTCATTTATGCTTAAGTTTTGTTGGAAGAATGTTGTGATTTTAGTGAATTCTATGAATACACTAAAATGGGGGAGGAATGTTGGAAATTTGGTTGAACCGGACTAACCAAGGCAAACCGATTTTGGGTTGGACCGACCAACTGGTTTGGGATTAGACCGACCGAACCAATATTCTAATTTCATGAAGGGACACATCCCGTGGCCTAGTGGCGGTTGCATTATTTTATGGATAAGGACAACCTTATGGATAGAGGCAACCCTTCATATGGATAAGGATAACCTTTCATATGGATAATGGCAACCTTTCGTATTGATAAAGACAACCTTTCATGAAACAATGCATGGATTCTGCTTCGGCCCCTATAAATATGTGTGGGGTGGATGATGCCACATACGATCAAACAAATTCTTCTTCTTTCTTCGAAAATTTTCTAAGTATGCTTTAGTGTTCTTGAGCCTAGAACCTAAAGTGGTGATAGTCTTATCCTCGGGAGAAATTTCATGTAACCCAAAGCTTTGTAGAGGGTGGAAATATTCTTTTCGGAAAATGAACGTAGCTCACGACTCTATCACAATTCTAGTGACCGGTTCTCGGGCTATCGTACATATACCCTCGTCCCTAAAAGTCCCAACATTCTGCATTGGTCTGGCTGTTCCCATGGCTCTGTAGGTTTGATGGGTTCGTAACGCCCAGATAGAAGTCTGCGCGAACCCCTCGGCTGTGGTATTAGGTATCCTTCTTTATCCTTCTTACTGTAGTTTCGGCAACCTAATTCCAAAACCTGAATGCAACTTCTTCCTTCACCACTCCGCCCGTCGCCACCCGTCCTCAGCCTCACTCAATTCCGGTCAGTCACTCTGCGTCCTTTCTCACTAGTGTTCGGGTTTTTATTTGATTTGGATTCTAGCGTGGTTCTCTCTTGCTCCCTGTTAGAGATAAGAATACACCTTTCCTTCTACATCCCTGCTTTTGTTAGTAGAGCAGCATCCACACTAGTTGGGGCCTCTCTCTCCGTATCCAGGCCCATCATTGGTATTCAGGTGATTTCTCACCTGCTTTTGTTAGTAATATGCATAGATTTGACTTAAATGATCCGTGTGATTACTTGCTGCATTTCCGAGTAGAATGCATATGATGACTCGATATTTGCACATGTTTTCCCCTTTGTTTCTTGATCGTTTGAGATTAAATTATCGCGTCTTTGGCCTATTTTACGCTAGGTTATGTTCCTTTGTCACATTTCAGGTCCTAGCACATAAAGTGAAGCATAGGCGCAAGTTTCAAGTCACTCAGAGATCAATTGGCGATTCGGGAGAAGAAACTCGGGCAGGACCTGAAGAAGAATGGATTTCTACCTCACTTTATGGACAAAGAATCATGCAAGCTTGTCATGAAAAGAAAGAGGACAAGACTACGAGCGTCTGGGATCAAACGACGACTGATTCGGAGTCCGGACGAGGGAGAAACGAAGCATTGAATATAGGGGAACAGGTTCGGCAGTAAAAACACGGGCGCGCCTACATCAAAACACGGCCGTGCCCATATTTAGGCACGACCGTGTTTTGGCCGATGCGCGCGGGCGTGTTTTTAACACGGGGCAAAGCACGGGAGGGCTGGAGCAAAGCACGGCCGTGCCCTCGACCGTGTTTTGCCCAGTGATGCCCTTTTAGGCAGATTTCAGCCAAAACAGAAGGGGATTCGAGTTTTAGAGAGACAGAGCGATTCCTAGAGAGAGAAAGCGACGAACAAGAGTTCCCAAGTGCCCTAGCTTGATCTTCATCACCATTGGAGCTTGGCTTGAGCTTGGAGGAGTGCCGATCAACGTCCAGGAGCAGAAATCCATCCTTCACAGTATGATTTCCGCGTCTGAATCTGCTTTTGCTTCTTTCTCCATGGAGTAGTTCTCCCATTCATCTGGGTATGGGAAACCCTAGATTTGTATGTTAGGTTTGATTGTATGAACCCAAGTACTGATTCTATGATTTGATTATATTCAATTGAGGTTTGAATGATTGAATGGCATGAATCCTGATCAAATTCCTGTTGTTTCTGCTTTAACCTAGAATGAGAATATCTGCCTAGGTTGATAGAGCATCCTTGATTGAAGGTAGGGAGTTGGTGACTTTAGTCGAGGAGCCAACTCACTATTATGTACCGAAGTCACTTCGGTAGTGGAGGTTTTGTTCGTTAGGGCCTCAATCTGTTTACTCCGGTGGAGGTTAGTCGCCCGCTAGAGACTCAGATTGAGAGGGTCTGGAGACCTTTAGTCGAGACTTCAGACTGCTTAAGAACCTTCCGCAGTATAACTATCATAGAAATTGAACTTGGTAATTGCAATCCGACTTAACTGCAGTCTAGGGGGAACCATATCCGAGTGACCTCTCTTAACCTGAAAACAACCGTTTACTTGCTTTGCTTGTTTGTTAGTTTAGACTTGCACTAAAGTTTCATTGCTAGATAACAAGAATTCACCGAGTAGTCATTAAATCTAGGACCCGGGTTGACATTAAAACCCAAACCCGCTATACTACGCTTTAGGAAGTGGTTACACTTGGCCAATTTCTAGAGTGACAGTAGGAGTGAGTCAGCATACGAAAATTGATTGGGTTGCTTCGTTGATTTTAGTTTTAACTGGTATATATGCATGGTTACTCTGGCCTGGTGATGGTGATTAGGATGTTAATATGCCTCAATTGTGTTTCTTTCATTCTCAAGTGGGTTCGTACATTGTTGGTCACTACTACCAAGTGCTTCAGCGAGACTTTGACCTTAATACATCTGTTATTCACTTTAGCGACTTCCTCCAAGGGTATATTGAAAGCCAACAGTGGCTTCCTGCAAACTTGTTTAACCTGCCCATGGCACTGAATAAGAGAATCACATATAGGTACATGCCGGAGGCGGCAAAAGAGTTTCCAATGATTAAATTTGGGGTTGGAGGGGGAGAAGCTTCGCTGGCTGATCATGCATCCACAGAGTCCTAAGAGAGAAATCCCTTATCCATCGAATCATGGACCAGCAGCAAAGGCGGAGCAAGAATCAAAACATTGTCAACACGAAGGCAATCCTCGGAGGATTGCATGTTCGTTGGGATCGAAAACATGAGAGATCAGAAGTTAGGCCCCTGTTGTCTTTTGTTGTTCCCGTTGGGTTCAGATTTGGTGAGGCAGACCATGCAATAGCCGGAGGAGGAGGTTAAGCGGCGGTGGATGCTGGCGGAGGTAGGAAAGACGAATTAATATCAGTTAAATTAATATTAATTTAATTAATAAAAAACAAAAACAGAAAAAGACTTAAGACGGGGAAAGGGTTCTCTCCGTTAGTTTGAAAGAGGCCACTTCTAATGGGCCACCAGACTGAACTGAACATTAATGAATCCAGTCGGTGCCACATCATCATATGTTGACCAATCAAAACATGCATGTCGCATTTTTTATAGCGGCACCATAGTATTGGCCTTAATAATTTTAGGCCAAAATTGCAAGTTTGGTCACTTGAATTACTAGTAAATTTCACGTTAGCCACTAGAATTACTTTATTCCATCTGTAGTCATTTAAATTAGATTAATAGTCCAAATTTGGTCATTGGCCGTTAGTCTCTGTTAACTTTTGCTGATGTGGCGGTCAACTCAAATAGTTGACCGTTAAATGAGTGATGTGGCAACTAAAAAATTAATAAAAAATAAATTTTCTAATTTCCAACTCATTTTTACCCCCACCCATTAACAAAAATAAAGTCCAATCAACTTTTTTTTTGCCCTTTCCTTCATTTCCCTTTCCTCTGCTCATGGACGAACCCATCCATTTTCCCGGCCAGCTCCTTCATCGTCTTCTTGAACTTCCAGCGATCCGGCCACCTGAGCAACGAGACGAAATTAACCGCGTTGGTGGCCCCACCACGCTCTGCCGCCTCCTTCATTGTCTTCATGAAGTGCCTCGCCACTTCAACATCACTATCAACAGCCCCGCCGCCGTAGTACCTCTTCCCGGGCACCATCCTCGTCGATGTGGATTAACCTCCCGATGTCAATACTCTTAGTTTCAGCATTAAAGATATTGTCTAATGAAGTAAAGTTCTATTGAAAACCCCGCAACAAAGTCCACCCACAATCATATTTGTCTCATTTGGAGAAGAAACAATTATCCATAAATGACTCTCGACTTTCTTCTGCACCACCGCCTCCTAGATGGAGGAAAACTGTATGTTTAGTTTGACAACATTCAACCCAATTGTTAGATTCGCCTCTCTTGTCAATGATTGAGCGCAACGGGGAAAGCACAGTGGAACGAAGAAGAAATGATTTAGGCATTGGAAAGAAAGAAAGAAAGAAAGAAAGAAAGAAAGAGAGAGTAATTAATTAAGAACCTGAAGTTGCAGAGGAGGAAGAAGAAGGGAGCCATCGCGGCCGCCAGCTTGGGCGCATCGTGAAGAAGTGATGGAAGCAGCACCAGTGTTTGTAGTGCGGAGGGCGAAGCTGTGGCCCTGCTTTTGCTGTTGCTGAGCTCTCACCAGGCTAATCATAGATTCAAAGATTGGTGATGATGATAATTATAAGTTATTACAAACCCGATTTATATATTTAAAGAGCGGAAGAGAGACAGATTAGAGGGAGTCCGACTATAATTATAAGGAAGAGCAAGTATCGAAGAGTGAGTGAGGGTCAATTAATTCGGGTTAATCAACCCGGTGGCCGGGAAGAGGTACTACGGCGGCGAGGCTATTGACAGTGATGCTAAGGTGGCGAGGCACTTCACGAAGATAATGAAGGAGGCGGCGGATTTTGCTGGGGCCACCAATGGGGTTGATTTCGTGTCGTTGCTCAGGTGGCCGGATCGGTAAAGTTCGAGAAGACGGTGAAGTAGCTGGCCGGGAAAATGGATGGGTTCGTCCATGAGCAGAGGAAAGGGAAAGGAAGGGAAGGGCAAAAAAAGTTTTTTTGTTTGTCGGGTGGTGTAAAAATGAGTTGGAAATGAGAAAATTTTAAATTTTATTAAATTTTTAATTGTCATGTCAATCATTTAACGGTCAACTATTAGAGTTGACCGCCACATCAGCAAAAGTTAACGGATACTAACGGTCAGTGACCAAATTTGAATAGTTAACCTAATTTAAGTGACTACCGATGGAATAAAGTAATTTTAGTGGCTAACATGAAATTTACTAGTAATTCAAGTGACCAAACTTGCAATTTAGCCAATAATTTTATGAAGACATTTAGGGGTCGATTGGAAGTTGCGATTGTTTTGTTGAGATTATCGTTATGCATGTATTGTTTACAATGCATCGTTTTTTTGTTTTTTTAGCAGAAACAATACATGGATTGTTTCTATGATGTGACAGAAACTATCACTCATTTCGAGTGATTGTTATATCTCAACTTTTAGTTGTGATTGTTGAGATAGTTGAGTTGAGATTGTTTTGTCTCAGTTTTTAGCTGATACGACATACACAATCACATATATCAAATGTTGTATTCTACAATGCATCAAATTCGACAATACATGTATAATATTATACATGCATTCTCAACAATACATCTATTTAAGAATCGCAACTTCCAAACGACCCCTTAGTTCGAGAAAAATAACAGTATAACACCCTCGTTTCTTATAAAAAAAAGGGTTAATTGCATGGTTGGTCATTGAGATTACAAAAAACGTTCATATTTGGTCACTGAAAATATTTAAATCCAATTTTGGTCACTCAAATTAGTTAAATGGTTCAAGTTTGGTCACTCTCCGTTACCTTCCGTCAGTTTTCATTAACACCGTCAGTTATTTGCTGACGTGGCTAACAGAAGTGCTGATTCACCCAATTAAAATAAAAAAGAAAACCTGACCCGTACAATCAGCAAAATCCGCCACATTAGTTACCCACCCCAACCCGTGACCCAAGTACCCAACCCTTCCACTCCACCCTAATTCCTCAACTTCCTCCTCTTCCTCCGCCCTCGCCGCCGCCGGGTCCTCGCCGCTGTCGTCGCCGACGACTCCTCCATCTCATCCGGCCCTACATCCGTGCTGGAATGGCGGATTCTGATTTGATGCTGGTTCTACATTTAGCTAGTGGAGAGGTCTAGGGGAGAGCTGGTGAGGTTGTACTGGCGTGCAATTATTGGGATTGTTGGGGGCAGTTAGCGTTTGGATGTGGTGGGAATGGAGGCGAGAATGAAGAAGTACAGGACGAAGAGTCCGGATCAGTCCAAAGAGTGGACGGAGAGGTTGCCTAAGTACCACCAGCAACATCGCAAGGTTGTCATCGTTTTCTATCTCTGCCGGAATCGCCAGCTCGAGCATCCTCATTTCATTGAAGTCCCTCTCTCATCGCCAGACGGCCTATACCTCAGAGATCTGCGTCTGCATCTCTCATTTTCGGTGTTGTCTTCGCTCCCTTTGCTTTGAAAATTGATGAGCTTTTGTGTGTTGTGCAGATTTAATTGAGAAGCTTAACGTGTTGAGAGGCAGAGGAATGACTTCCATGTAGGGTCGGATGAGTTGATGCGCGGCGATCGATTAAGGTGGAGAAGGAGTCGCAGACGACGACAGCTGCGGGGACCCGGCGGCGGCGAGGGCAGAGGAAGAGGAGGAAGTTGAGTAATTAGGGTGAAGTGGAAGGGTTGGGTACTTGGGTCACAGGTTGGGGTGGGTAACTTATGTGGAGGGTTTTGCTGATTGTGCGGGTCGGATTTTATTTTTTTATAATTTAAATTGGGTGAATCAGCATTTCTGTTAGCTACGTCAGCAAATAACTGACGGTGTTAACAGAAAATAAGGGAAGGTAACGGAGAGTGACCAAACTTGAACCATTTAACTAATTTGAGTGACCAAGATTGGATTTAAATATTTACAGTGACCAAACATGAACGTTTTTTGTAATCTCAGTGGCCAACCATGCAATTAACCCTATAAAAAAATAAAATAAAAAATAACACCCTCGTCTCTGCCCCTCCTAGGCCCCTACCTCTCCCTTTTCAACGAACAGAAGGAAGTGCAGAGAGATCGTCACTACGAAACCCTAACCCTAGCGTTTCTTCCGTCTTGAACAGACATCGATAACCCCGACCGATGTCGATTCCGCCGCCGTCCTCGGCCTCCTCTGCTTCGCAATTCACCTACTCAGCTCCGTCGACGTCCTCGACCCAAACGAACAGTTCGTATTTCCCTACGCCATTTCATCTCCAGCAGCAATACGTTGTTGCGGCCCCGCCTGCCCCAGCCCCAGCCCCAGCCCCAGCTCCGCCTGCTGTTGGTTCCGTCTACACGGCCCCCGCTGGTCCCGTTTACTCTATCCCCCAATTCCAGCAGGTCGGCGTTGATCGCAATAATGGCTTATGTTTTCTCTTCTCTTCGGTTCATTTTTGATTGAGCCAACTCAGGGGGATTAATAGCTTCCAATCTCTGGTAGTTCTCGAGCAGGCTCAGCAGCTGTTCCAGAGAGATGCACAAACGATTACGCCGGAAGCACTTGAAGGTGTGAAGGCTGCACTTGCAAGCAGCGAGAGTGAACACAAAGCGGAAACAAAGAAGAGAGCTGTTCCCCGGAAAGCTGCTGGTCAGTCTTGGGAAGATCCCACTCTGGCAGAGTGGCCTGAGAGTAAGATCAAGCCCGCCGGTTTTCCTTTCCCGTGCTTGTTGAAATTGAATATGTTACTTGTGCGAGCTGCTAAGTCGTCGTTTTTGCAACTTACAGATGATTATAGGCTATTTTGTGGCGATCTGGGTAACGAGGTGAATGATGACGTTATCTCAAAGGCATTTTCCAGGTTCCCTTCCTTCAACATGGCCAAGGTCAGTCTCTTAGTCTTAAGAGCATTCAAGTTCTCTGATGTTAAAAGCAATAATTTTTTTTTGAATCTCGTATGAACTGTGTGCATGTCCTCTTCAGATGTTTGTTTGAAGCTGACAGACTAAGTTGTTCTGTATGTTAAGGTAGGCTGTTACTTACCATCTATCTAGTAGTTAGCCATATGATTTTGCCAAGGAATGTCCCCTCCCCCTTCTATATTTTCTTGTGCATTTAGCATTCTTCATCTCCATTGGGTGATCAGACCTTTGGCCTTTATGATTCTTTTGGTATTTTTGTTTCATAAGGTGCTACGAAGTCTAGAAGTTGGTTCTGTCGATCTAACAACTCCGAGATAGATTAAGTTTCAGTTTGCCTTTTTTAATTGAATATGGACAACATCAGGAATCAAAGACTTGGACCTTGAGTGGATAGTTCAGTCTACTAGTGGCTAGTTCTCGTGCAGAATTGATGTGATCTAGTTGGGTAAGATTGGGAACTCGTTAGAATGTTAAGTGGCTGGTTCTCGTTGATCCTTCCTTGATGGATTTATCCATTTTCTGTTTCCACAGTTTTTAATGTAACTATTGAACCTTGCCTAGGGTTGGTTTTGAACCGAGTTGAATCTGTTTACTTCTGACACAGCTGGGACATTTTCCAGTGTTAAATCAACAAGTTTCCATCCTTTTTAGGATTGAAATTCAGTTTAGATCTAGTGGTCTCTCAGTTAATTGCTTTGGCACTTTTTTTTTAAAGTCATAGCGTGTTTCCCCCCTTTGTATGAGGTTTGTGCCACTTCAGACTATGTATGGGGAATTGTTCTCTCTTCCACCCTCTGTTATGCAGAGGATCACTTTGTTCCTATCCTCATGCTTTTCCTTGAGCTCTTGGTTTGTTACGTGAATTGCTCTTTGATCTCAATTGTGCTTGGATCATGACTTTGTCTTAAATGTGTGATTCCCTAGGTCGTGAGAGACAAGCGAACTGGGAAGACAAAGGGCTATGGATTTGTGAGCTTTTCTAATCCTACAGACCTTGCTGCAGCTTTAAAGGAGATGAATGGTGAGTTGATAACAGTTGAATGCCAATTGATGGGGCTTTGACCGGGAATTTTATGAGTCCTGCATCTCATACTCTGCTATTCTCCATCTCCATTTACTGTTCTGATTAGTCCAGGCTTGACATCAACTGCAGGTAAATATGTTGGCAATCGTCCCATCAAACTACGCAAAAGCAACTGGAAGGAGAGGACAGACTACGATGCATTAGGGAGACCCAAGGTAAAGACTTACTTGATTTCTTAAAGACAGACCAGATATACTATCTTTTGGCATGCTGATACGTGTCATGCCCATTTACCTGCAGAGCCACCATCAGAAGAAGCCCAAGGCTCCAAAGAAGAGTGTACTGCACAAGTAAAAACATTCTGCGTACCCAGCTGTTGAGTGTTTTGGTTTCGATTCTGCTGGTTATGTGCCCTCCTATTGTACAATTTGTGAAGCAACTTTTTGCTAATTGCAACAATGCAAGTAAATAACGGGTATAAGCTGCTCGTTCTCTATTAGCATTTGTTGAAAGTTGATAATGACGAGAAATTATATTTTTCTGACAAATGAATTTTGGTAGTAGATGGATGTCACCCTAACTAAATGTAATGTATCGCTGTACATCAGCCAAACCAAAATAAAAAGCCCGACAAGTAAAGGTAACAGGGGCAATCAATTTTATTCTTTTGAGCAAAAACTTTAAAGAAGCAGAAGCAGGAGCAGATCCTTGTACTTCTCTGTATTTGCTTCACTAATTAAACATTTAAACTGCTCGAAATGCTTATTGTTAGACTCTTAAGTAGGCAATTTGTACATCAACCCAATCAACAACCACATCCCGTCCATATTTTCCCTCCTCTCCCACGAACACTTTGCACCAAACTCTCATTCCATTTTTCTTGAGCAGATTCACATCAGTTGAGCTTTTCATCACTTAATTTCAAGGTTAGTGCCTACATGTTCATTCTTGCTTGTGAGAAACTTGAGATTTTTTGGGTTCCAAAGTAGGTTAGGGTTGAAGTGAGGATGAGATAGGTAATGAGCGAAATCTCATTCTTTTAGGGGGGTGTGTGAAAGGGGCTCATTCTTGCACTTCATAAGCTTATCTTGCATACCCACCAGATGTTTGATGAAATGCCCAGAGTATGCGACTCGTTGCTCTTTTGGGGGCAACTCTTGTTGTTGCCATATGCTCTTACTGAGTAACTTTCGAGGCTAATCTTCTTACTCATTTGGGCATTATTATTTTCCAAGTGCGGGGGTATGGCTTGAGTAAGCTACTATTGCCAATTATGGCTTAGCCCTATAGCTGCAGTATCTTGATTTGTTAGCTATCATCTCAGGATGGGGAAGTCCAAAGCTGTTCCAAAATCGTCGACCATCCATTTCTTCAATTTTCGAACAAGCTCAGAAGGCTTACAATTTCTATGTGAACCTTCTATTGGGGGAGCATTATTATGTTGATTGGGCTATGCTAGAGAGGCTTGGGGACATAGGCTGGATTGCTATCCTGGAAGCAATGGACCAATCTTTGCCGAGACTACCCCCAGGTTTTCTCCATTCCCCATCTGGTCAAGCATTACATGATGAGCATGTTACCATTATAAATATGAATCCAGCAAGACTAAGGAGTAAGGAGACATCTCTTCAATATGAATGGATGATGATTCACAGCATTCTATCCCATTTAGTTTTGCCCAAGGAAAAGAGCTCCGAAAATTTCACCAAGAGGGATGTGAAGATGCACTACTCTATGCCACTGAGCATCGACTTCACCTGGGTTTGGTCGTCATTAAGACATTCACCGAGAATGTATACAACTCGACATCAAGACCATCTACGGGAGGCCTTATATCGCACGGTAAGGTCACTATTTGGCAATCGATCATGTTTCTATCCGATGCACAGCGATAGGCACCACCATCCCTCAATCCTGCTCAACAAGTACCAGTAACCCAACCATCTCTACAAAGCAACATGTCAGTTGGAGCAGGGTCTTCTGCAGACTGCAGTCCCCTATTCGACTCATTGGAGATTGTAACAAGTTAGAACGTTACTCTTATATCTCAGAATGCTCAGCTCCTCTCCTCCTTTAGAGGACTTCAACTTCCGACTCAATTGAGACAGGGATGCCAGGAGGAATCTTGTAGCCTCGAACTGTCCCTTGTTACTTCACTTGGGTATCCACTACAAGACTGTGCATCCACCCTTTGTACTATCACCTCCTTCAGATGGTGATGATCTCGACTAGGAAGGCATAGAGGTCGATAAAGAGGAGCAAAATGATAGCAATGATGATGATAATGAGTGAAAGGCTATATGGCAAACTAACAGGAACATTTCCTCTATCTATCTCATACGCATGTTACTTTTCAATTTTGTTTTAGTAGTAAATAATGCACCAGTACTTAAAATTCTCATAGCTACAGTATTATTGTATGTTTTTATTTTGATAAACCCCATCTCTCTCTCTTGTGTATGCGTGAATGTTTTTTCTCTAGATACAAGAAGACCTACACTTGTTGTATGCGTAGATGTACAAGCTAATGTTGGTAACTGTTTTGGTCTGCAGCTAGAAGAGATGGGGTTCATTTGAGCAAATCTTGTTGTCTTTTAAGCTTCTCTGCTGCTGTACTTTTTGTATTTGCAGTTGTTTTCTTTGTGGTTCTTAATAAAATTTCATCATTATAAAAAAAAATCTACACTTGTGTTCCTACCATCCCACCACCCTATGACAACCTCGTGAACTCTACCATGAACTCACACATTGAGTACAATGTGTCTTTTTAAGTGTAGAGGGATAATACTTGTATTGTTTCAAACGCTCATGATTGATATCGCCGTTCTATTTATTGCTTTTATATGATGATGCATGTTGACGTGATAGCAACTTGTTTGGAACCTAAGATATTGCTCCAATTGTTTCCAAAATTTGAGGGTTCCAGCTTCCCAGTAAGCCTCAATTCTTACTATGTGATTTCATGCTTTGAATCGTCAAACCTACCTTCTCCTTCTCGATCAATGTTAAGGAGCGAAATTCGTGAGATTTTTTAGAATGAAGTGTTTTTGCTTGATTTCTTGACTTATCTTGGTTTGAATGTTTCCCTGTTGAATGTGTGGTAAGTTTAATTGAGCATGAAGCTTGATTCTTAGTGGTAGTTCGGTTGGTCGATGCTTGATTATGTGCCTTTCCACAACCAAATTTTGAATAAAGTGGTGTACCTATTCAAAGGTTTACGTGTATGGCACCAATCAACCGTTAAAAAAAAAATTCCCAGTAGTAGCTCATAAAATATGACTACTCCAGATCGCATGCTAATTAGAGGATGATGCAGATGGGGACCCCACTCAAATTCGGTTCAAAGGCATTCAAAGGTTGGTCGTTTTATTTTAGTGGCCCAATCACACGAGCCGATGTATAGGTACGAGGAAAGAAAAGCAAAAATGTATAAGAACTCCTACTTGTTTGGTCAGAAACATAACAAGTTATCAATGTTTCTACAAACCCAAAGAAAAAATCTCAATAAGAGAACAAAAGGTTTTGTGAAGGTGTATAATAGATCCGTAAAAGCATTCATCCTTCTTATTTACAATCGAGAGTCTTGAGTTACGCCTACCTCCTTTCATTGGAGAGCATTCGAAGTAGGATTTTCCGAGTAAGTCCACCATGAAGATGGAAGATTGAGATGTTTAGTCATTTGGGACCCGACTCCAAAAAAATACATCGATAGGAGAGGTGCAGGGATTTCGAGTTGCACGTTTTAATCACATGTTTTCTTGGGTACACAAAAATGCCTAAGTGTGGCCCAAATTGGTTTTATTTACCTCCCTCTAGATCTTAGTATTTTCATGTCTATTTGTTATCCAAAAATAGCCTACAATCGCTTCCTAGCATATGCATGGTTGTTATTAGGTGAAGATGTGTGTGTTTAACTCATATTGATAAGATCAAGGCTCAAGTGGGAAATGGGGCAAACAGAGATCATGCGCAAGATGAAGCAAATCACGGTTGCGAACAACCAACCATGAGCTCAAGATCGCGTGACGCACAGAAGATCACGATCGAGATCTTTCATCTCTCGATCGTGAACTTCAGAAGGCTAGCACGAAAATGAAAAAAATGTCTCGCGGTCTCACTCGCGGCCTTAAGCCGCGAGACCGTGAGAAAGATAATGGTCGCGACTTCTAGATCACGACCATAATCTCCAACCTGCAAACCCTCTTCATGAAGATGGAAAAGTGACAACGCATCAAGATTGCATGATAGACTTCAAGTTCACCGTTGTGAACTTCCCCAAAAACGGATAGGAATTCCGAATCTATGATCTCTATAAATAGGAGGAGACCCCCAAGGGTTTGAGAGGGCATATTTTCTAGAAATATTTTAGAGAGAGATTAGAGAGAGAAATATAGTCAAAATCGCGTTTTAAAATTTAAAAGCTTACGGTTTAACGCTTCTAGGTTACCAAAACGCTTTCGTTTCCATGTAAAATCTTTAGTGTATAAAATCAGACTAAATTGTGCTTTAAAGCTTAAAAGCTTACGCTTTTACGCTTCTAGTTCTCCAAAATGCTTTACGCTTCTAGTTCATTAAATAGTTATTATTTTCATGAAATTAATTATAAAAAGTACAATTTAAAGGTAAATCGTCAACAATATGATACATTTAAAATTAAAAGATACATACAAGGTACTTGGATGTTTCTCAGTTTCAATAGAGTAATCTAATTAACCAGTTAGGCCTTTCCCAAATTCATTAGCATAGAGGAGAATGTGGCTTATCGTTAAGATCTATGTTTATGAAATTATTTTTAAGATTCTATGAGTAGCTCTACTTTAGACACGAATTGCATGTAGTTATTAATTAATCTAAATTCTGTGCACTCATATTTTACATAGTATATATGTATTTAACATATTTTTAGTTATTTTAAAGTATGCTTAAAAAACTTACGCTTTGATTCTACGCTTTACGATTTTACCCCTTTTTCGGTTTTAGATAGAATCGCGTTTTTGAGTGAGAGAAATATGGATTTTCTTATAAAGAAGAAGAGAATAAGGTAGAAGAGAATAGGGGAACCACCCTTGAAGATTGAAGACTAGCCTCCAGCTGAAAATCAAGAAGATGATGGTTCTCTTCCCCCTTCTTATTTTACGCTCTTCATCTCACATGGGGTAGTCCCATTGTATTTTGGGTAGGTAACCCCTAACTCCATAGAAGAATGTTTAAGGTTAAACACTAGTGTAATGAGTCATCCTCCTCCTCGACTTATGATTACTTGATGTTTAATTATGCTAATATCTTGCTTTAGTAGAGGTGGTAAATATTTTTCTTCTTAACCTAGGTTGAGGTAACCATCACCTTCGGTTGAGATTAGAACCCACTTCAAGTAAACCAAGATTTTGATTACATGTTGCTTGAATTGAAGCCTTGTTTACCTTTGGGGTTTACCCTCATAGGAATTCATACTTACCGCCCTAGCGATTTGTTAGTTACATAATCATTGAATTAAGAATTACACTAGGAGTGCAACTAGGAGACATGATCATTTCCCTATAGGTGAAAATAGAGGATTTCAACATCATGAATGAGGGGACTGTTATATGTATGTTCATTTCCGACTTAGTCTTAGAGTTAGCGAGAGCTATCCCCAAGCACCAATTTCCATTTGAGTTAAAGTGCATAGTAAGTAGTACAGTAGGGAGTTAGAATTATCGACCATCTTACTGTTAAGTTAAATAACAAGCCTGGAAGAAGCAATAGATCTTATAACTCATGGAATGAGACTTCAGTCACCCACTATACTACTCATCCCCCACAAAATTCAAAATCTTGCCAATTAATATATTCTCTTCCTCGTCAACCAACCAACGACTTGATGTTAATTGTAGTGTCTCTACCAAATTTACTTGGCCCAGAGGCTAAGATCGTATTATCTAGGGCCTCTCGCAGAACCCTTACATCGTAAGTGAGGTACAGTTCTATTGAAGAAGAGGTTCTCTTAGGAGGTTGAGGGTCCTCCGGTTTTTCATAACGTAGGAGTTCAAAAAGTAAAGTGAATGTAGAAAAGTTAATCTATGCTAGTGGTGAAGTGAGAGAGCAGAAAAAGTGTTGCATAGGCAATGTTCCTCCTAGGATTCCTAACCATGAGCCCTTGATGATCACCGATTCCTGGTGGTAACACATTTACCGAACTAATGGACAACAAGGACCCTTCAAATTTCTTCATTGAGGCATCATGTTGTTTGATGAGGTTCGATCGAGTAGGACTGCTATTTCTAGACCCATCCTAAACTACTAGGATTTCGATCCTTTCACCTCGAAGGAGTGCAAGAATGATAACATCGCATTCTCACATGTTTTTCCCTTCATTTCTTGATCGTTTAGCTTAGCGATTCATCGTTCATTGGCCTATTTTATGGTAGGTTGTGTTCTTATGTCATATTTCAGGTCCTAGTACGTAGATATGGCTTGGGGACGAGTTTCAGGACATTTGGAGGTGAAAGAAGGTCGATCGCGAAAACCAGGCAGCAGGGTTGCTGAGAAACACGTCCTCAAACACACCCTCTATGCTGAAAAACACGACCTTGTGTCAGAGGTTGGGTTTTTCCTCTACACTTCACAGAATCGTCGTTTCGAAACACAGCCTCTTCTGATTAAAAGACGACAAGGTTTTTATAGCTTAGAGGCCGTGTTTTTGCACCTGTGCGGGTTTTATTGGAGAGGAGCTCATATTTTGAAGGATTCGACTTTTTTGAGCAAAACATAGTTCTAGAGAGAGAAAGTGCGAAGAACAAACCCTATGAGCTATTTTGGAGTGGATTTCTCACCATTGAAGCCTGGATTGCATCCCCAGGAGTGAAGATTGACATCCCAGAGCAGATTTTTCCCATCTTTATGAGTATGACTGCTTTGATTTCTGTTTCTCTCTCTCTCTCTCTCTCTCTCTCTCTCTATGGAGCAGACCTTTCTCTCACTTGGTTATGAATAACCCTAGTTCCATGTGTTAGGGATTTGAGTTGTAATGAATTTTAGATTGATATACTGATTGGTTTTAATCGATTGAAGTGTGTTTATTGAGTCAATTGAATCCTGATCAACTTCTTTTGATTTCTACTACAACCTGAGATAGATAGAATCTGATTAGGTTGTTAGAGCTTCTTCAATCGATAGGAGTGAAATGATTGTACGAGAGTCAGTTAATTCACTGCTTTGTACTGGAATCTGGTTTCAGTAGTGGAGTTCTGTGTTAATTGCCTTAGCTTTCTATCCTGGTGAAGACTACTCGTCTGCCTGTTAGTATGTCTAAGAGGGTTTGGTCAACTTAAGAGATTCCAAGCTACTGTCGGATGTTCCGCAGTTTAATCAACAGTAAATCAGCCAAAGGAAATTACAACATGGACCTAACTAAGGAGCTAGGGGGACTCATTCCCGAGTGACTCTTCTCTTGCTTTAGGAAAGCAAACAATTTACTGCTTTCTTTCTGTTTAGTTTGAATTCACCTACACTCACTTAGTCCCGCTAGATAATAGAAGTTCACGGTGTAGGCAGTAGATCTAGACCTCGGGTTGATAAATAAACTTACCCACTATTCTGCATTACCATTTTGCGATTACACTTGGTCGTAGTTTGGTGTTGTGTTTTAGCGTGTCATATTTTTGGCGTCGTTGCCAGGGACCCTAGGTTATTGTAGAAACGTGAAAGTCTGTTACTTTAGCATTTTCTTTACTGCATTCTCTCTCTTCCACCTGTGTGCCTTCACGGGTTGCTTTTGCTGATTGTGTGCAGGTAGTGCATGACTCGTAGCCATTCGGGAGATCTACTGGACCAGGAGCTTGTACGAACTTGTCGTAATTTCTAAAGAGCTTTGAAAGCACCACTAGCTGCGGAGGAGTCTCTAGCACAGCTAAACATCAACCAGGAGAACAATATGGGTGAACCCTGACAATGGCGGGGACATTGTTCTCGATGAGCATACAATGTGATACTACTAGATCGCCAGAGCCGCGGACATGAGATCGCCCATCCAACACCCTCAAGTTCCAGCTAATAACTTTGAGGCGAGCACCTTTGTCATCACCATGTTGCGCGGCTCGGTGGTATTCCGTGGGAAGTAAGGGGAGTGCCCCGGATCGCACATACAGCGATTCCGCGAGCTGATCGATGGAATCAAGATTAATGGGGTCCCTGTAGGCTCCAGGCGTCATCCAACTGAGGTACTTCCCATTTACTCTAGAGGACAAACAAATGAGTGGTTGGACACCCGACCTCCGGGATCGATCACTACATTCTCCGGCCTGGCCGACAAGTTTCTCACCCGCTATCACCCTCCATTTAAGACAACGGACCTGCAGAAAGAGATCACCCATTTTGCATAGGAAGAAGATGAGACCATCAGGGTTGCCTGGGAGAGATACACCAGTCTCTTCCTGAGGTGCCCCAATCATGGTTTCAACGATGCTTTCAAGGTGGGCACCTTCTACCGAGTTGTCTTCCCTAAAGATAAGCAGCTGATTGACTCGGTATGTGGCGGGAACATGCTGACCAAGACGCCACCGCAGTTGAATCAACTCTTTGAGGAGATGGCAGAGAAGGGATATGATTGAGGGACTGTTAGTAGATCAAGGCAAGAACCAGGCCGGGGTGTGCATGTCGTGGACACCCCATCGTCTGAGTTGGTGCAGGTTGTCTCGAAGCTGGTATCAGCTATGGATCGTAATGGGATGATCTTCGGGACAGATCAGCAGCGTGCGATGCAGTGCCAGTGGTGTGAGAGCACCAATCACAAGGTGGAGGACTGCCAAGCCATGCGAGAGTCCAACATATCGCAGAAGTAGGTGAAATTCATTATTAATGCTCGGTGCAACGATCCCTACAGTAATACATACAACGACGGGTGGCGCCAACATCCAAATTTCTTCTGGAGCGGCAACAACAATCCCAAGCCACCGGGCTTCCAAGCTCCTGCAACTGGTTTTCAAAACCAGAGACAACCATACTAGCCCAGACAAGGGCATTCTTTTCAAAAACCTCCATAACAGTAGCAGTACCAGCAGCTTGGGGCATCTCTATCAGTCCCAGCACCGGGCTATCCCGTGTCAGAACTGAGGGATCTAGTGACCACCTTGGCCAGAACTAGTACCCAGAAGTTCAATAAATTGGAGAAATTCATGGAAGTGGCTGCGGAAAAATTCATGGAGATTGAATCTAGCCAGAGGAACCAGCAGGCACTCTTGCAGGATATGGACACCAAAATCGGGCACCTGGCAGATGCACTTGCTTCCAGATCGGCTGGCACACTACCTGTCCAACCCTTGCCGAATTCCAGAAATCATAAGGAGGGGCTACACGCCATCATGCTGAGAAGTGGGACTATAACTGAAAATGCACCCCCAAGGAGTGTGAAGAAGGTGACGCAAATCACCCCGGAGCTGGTAGAAGACCTGGTGATGGAAAAGGAGCTAGAGACTTGGGCCCCAAATCCCCAACCAGTAGTGGTTGAATACAAGCCTAAGATCCATTTTCCCACTAGGATGCACAAAGACCGGCTAGAGGCAGAGTTCGGGAACTTCATGTCCATGCTTAGGAAGTTGAATGTTCAAGTGCCCTTCCTGGAGGCATTATCTCATATGCCTAAGTATGCAAAGTTCCTTAAAAATCTTCTCTCAAAGAAGTGGAAGCTGAGCGAGCTGGCCACTGTGGAGCTCAATGAGGATTGTTCGACCACCATGCAGAACAAGCTACTGAAGAAGGATCCAGGTAGTTTCACGATCCCATGTTCTATCAGTAAAATGCATGTTGAGAGGTCCTTGGCGGACTTAGGTGATAGTATTAATGTTATACCCTAATAGGGATGTCAATGGGTCGGGTCGGGGACGGATAGTGCATATCCGTTACCCTACCCAAAGTAGTTCGGGTTTTACCCATACCCATACCCACATATGAAACGGGTAGAAAATTAAAACCATGCCCATACCCGTTCGGGTTTCGGGTATCCACGGTTATCCATGGGTAATGATTTCTCTTCATAACTCCAACTAATATATTAACATTCACACGTATTCTCACATTACGCAAGAGGAAAAGTATGACAATAATTCACTAGAATGAAGAAAATTAATTAAAACAACACAATTTCATGAAAATATTATATTTATATGCTAAATATAAAATATGTTAGAGAAAAATAATGACTATTTCTAGACAAAATACATATGTATGTGTATAATCGTGCGGGTTCGGGTTGGATATTGAGAAACCCATGCCCACCCATTACCCGCAATATTTGGGTTCGGGTTTTACCCGCACCCACTAAATGTACTTCGGGTTCGGGTTTTACCCTACCCGATTAGGCCGGGTTCGGACGGATAGCCACGGTTACGGATATTTTTGCCATCCCTATACCCTATACTTTGTTCAAGAAACTTATCTATTTGAGCCAACTGCAACGAGGATGAGTATTCAATTAGCTTATCGATCTGTAGTTCATCTAGGGGCATAGTGGAAGATCTCCTGGTTAAGGTTGACAGATTCTTTTATCATGCGGATTTTGTTGTCTTAGACATCAATGAGGACGTAGAACTGCCCCTTATACTAGGCAGGCCTTTCCTGGCCACACCCAAAACTCTCATAGATGTGCATGATGAGACCCTGATTTTGAGAGGTGGCGAGGAGCAGTTAACATTTTCCATCACTAATAATATGACTGCTATCTTGGCTGTGAATGCCTTATCTCACCAAGTGGACGGGTCTGTTGTGTATCCTTCTGTGCCTTCTGTTTTGCAGGACTCTCCTCCCATTCCTTCGCAACCACTCCCGTTCCCCCTGTTACCAAAAGAAAAGATCAAGGAGGAGTGGCGGCCGAAACTACAGGTAGCTAAACCTGCTCAAAAGAAAGTTGGAGACCACTATGAGCAAGTCCCGCCTCCTAAGCCACGATCGCCATGGCCATCCAAGTATTCACTCGCTTGCATCCCGCCGGATGGCCAGGTCGAGTTGACATGTGCTGGTGGTGTCACCCGTCGTGTGCATGGCCACCATATGAAGTTGTACCTCAAGCACGAAGTGGATCCGCTCTTGGAAGCACGTGTTCCTACACCGCTCTGAGCATCCACCCTCCGCGTCTAGCTAAAGACGCAAAAGAAGCGCTTGTGAGGAGGCAACCCCAACACGGTTTGCTTTTCTTTTGTTTTTTTTTTCCACTTAGAACTATGGTTTCTATGACTTAGTGTGTTTTGATTCCTCTGTGCCTTTGGATTGGTCACTTTCCAGTCCCCTACTCTTGACTGGTCTACCTTCCAGTCACTGTTCCCGCTCATCATTTCCTGGTAACATCGTTCCCCTTTTCCTTTGCTCCATTGATGACAAACTCTTTAGAATATGGTTGGGATAAGGGGTAGCCCGTGGTCGTTTATAATTATATTTATGTTAAAACTACAACAAAAAAATGAATTGTAGCTAATGAAAAACAAGTTTGTCTACAAGGCGACTGCTGGGAGTGGGGAATTTACTACACACACCTTGATGGAAGAGTTGTTTGTCACCACACGCTCTTATCCTTGGGCAATTAGGGCTATTCTTTATTGTCAAGTGTCTTTCAATGTCAAATGGGCAAGTCACACCCTTAGTGACTTAGGTTGGGATGATTGGGTTGTGTGGTCCATTAGGTGAGTCTATCTCAAAGGTGGCCATTGTGAACCTCCAATATCTTTTTGCCCGAGAGCTTAGGTATTTTTGAAGTTTATAGAGATTGAGTCATGCTTGTAGTCTGATTCAGGTTGGGAACAATTTTTTGGGTGCTTTAAATTCTGGTTGCTCTTGTTCAGACCATTCGAGTGCTTTTTAATTCCTTTAACAAGAGTGGTTTTTCTGACCAATCAACCCCTGGGGGTTGGGGTGACAACCTGTTATTAATATGCAATAAAAAAAATTGAAGCGAATAGCACTAATGTAACATTCCGACTTTTAGGTTTAGGTTCGACCTTAATACGTGATCGGTTGGGTTGACAGTTGCGTACTAATAGGTTGCAATCGCGGTTTAGTAGTAATAATAATAATAGTAATAATAATCACTATTATTACTATTATATATATATATATATATATATATACCCGACCTGGGGGCCGAGCGGCCTTCCCAACTTAACCCCAAACCCTCGGGCCTCCATTTATCCCCAAACCCCGCCGCCCACCTTTTATCCCCAAACCCCCGCCCCTTTTTCCTTCCCAGCAGCAGCGAAGGAAACCCCAAGCAAAGCAGCGACCGCCCTTTCTCTCTTAAGTCTCACGCTAGAGCCAGTCGGATCCCCAATCGTCCAAAAGGTAAGGATGATATACCCCAAGTCGTTTCCATGTTTGTTGACCATTCAAAGTAATCGGAACCCGTCAATCGTGAACCCAAGTGTAGCAACAAGGAATCGAGAGTTAATCGGTGTATGAGCAAAGAAATCGACGTCCAAGGTCATTGAGTCTGAGCCTAGGCACGTTCTAGAGGTAAGGGAACTCGATCCCTTTGAGTTAGGTCGTTTAATTTGGGGATTTTTCGTGAGGGTGCAATTCCGAGGCTTTAGCAACAGACCTTCAGGTTTTTAGTGACAGAATTTGGGTGGTCACTAAAGCTGCTGGGAATTTCCAGAAACTTGTTTTAGAGGGTTTAAATTGTTTCGAGTCTTTACGGGGGCTTGTTCCTGATTTTTAAAATTTTATAAATTGAGGGAGGTCTAGGAGATGGTTTTATTTTAATTTGGGGATTTTCGAAGATGTATTTTTAATTTTAGAAATTGTTCGAACATCTGTTTTAATTAAATAAAAATATTTACGAAGAGTTTGTAAGGGTATGATAATTTTTCAGGATATAAGTACTCATGATTGATATAGGAAAATTATGATCCGAATTTTTAAGAAGGTTCAAGTTAGGTGGAAAATCCGTCCAATACTAAAATAATTAGGAAAAGTGGTCGGTTTTGAAGGGATTGTTTCTAGAAAATTTTTAAAGGGGGTTAAGGGACCTTGGGAGTGAGTTTCGAGGGCTGAATTTTGAGGAGAGGATGTTCTAGTGACCCAAAAGGGAATTCTAAATCGAAAAAGGCCGACTAAGGAGATGGCATTCTTATTAATAGGTTCACCGAGATAATTCGGCTAGGAGGATCGAGGAGTCATCTTTACAAGGTGAGTGTAAAGGGGGTAAATTCTACGCCTTACGTGTTCTTTCAAGAATTACAAGCCTTACGTATGTTGATGAAGTGATTGTCGTTGTTTGATTGTGCTTATGGTTGTTGATATGTGATTTTGTTTGAGCTAGGTTTGATGTGAATGTGCATGAATTCTTAGTTAATTTAAAGCTTTCCGTTTATAAGCTATTGTTAGAGTTAAGAAACAAGTTCTTTTTAAAGAAGTAACTCACCTTCAAGAAGGTGAAGTCGTTTTAAGTGTTTTTAGTCACTAGCGCCAGTCCGTTGCCTTTTGAGACATTTTGAGATAGAGCAGCAGTTATGCTCTTGAGACTTTTAAGATGGGCAGCAGTTATGCTCTTGAGAATCGTGGTGAAGAGCCACCACGATAAGTTTAAGATGTTAGGGGGATGAATCGTTACGACTCCCCTAACTAATTTTAAGTTTAAGGAAAGCCTGGATGGCTTCTCATACGTATGAGTTGGGCAACCGGACTAGCTAGTGAGGGATCCCCGAGTCAGTCAAAAGATTTAAGTCAAGTTTTGAGCTTTAAGAAGGGAGAGTAACTTTAACATCCCGAAGAATTTTATGAGTTAAAATTGTTAAGGATGGAAGTACAAAACGACTTCCACTAGTAGAAGTTAAGTGTTTAGAGAAGAATACTAAAGTACTATAGATTTTAACGTATGGGCGTAGACTGACCCCAACTCACTCACCAGATTGTAGAGGAGGAAATCCTAACCAGCCGTCCGTGATCAGCCAGCTAGAGGAGCTCAACACCATCGTCGCTGAGAGATGTCGAGCCAGGCGTCAGAGTAAGCATCGGAGAACTTTTTCAAGTTATTAAGACTTTATGGTTAAGAGTTAAAGATTGGAGATTCATTTCTTTTGGACAATTTGAGTTTTGCCCACATGTTTAGGGCTTCGATTTGAGATATTAAGATATTTGAGTTCGGTATTGTATTTTAAGTTGTGTATTTGCAGATTTTTAATTATACCTCGGGGTAGAAATGTCTTTTTTTTCCAAATTCACGAGGTGGGATGTTTCAAACTAATGTAATAAAGTTTTGTTAGTTCATATTTGTAACACAACAAAATGTGAAAAATATAACAAAGACCAATAATTCCATCAATAAGGATTTTGAAAAGTAGGTGAAAGTTCAAAATCTAAAGAATGAAATGCAGGCAACCACTGAAAATAATCACAAAAAAGGTGAAAATTAAAAGGTTTTGAACTATCTGAAGGAACCGCTTCATTATTCCCCCTCTTTCTCTCTCTCTCTCCAATTGAGAAAAAATGTGCAGATGAAAAAAAGGGGGGAAAACAAAATTCTTTCTTGGGAGCCAATTTATTTTCTTGGAATTCTCTGCTCCCCCCTTTACCTCTCTCTTTCTTCATCTCGCAAAATTTTTGTCCCTGATTTTGATAATATACTTCACCATCTTCTTTCCTTTTGGTTCGAATTCTTTCAGATAATTTTGGAGCTCGGCGACGGTGTAAATTTATTCTAATGCGGTTAAACCATGATATTGTGCGTCGTTGCTATCTTATCCTTTGATCTTGGTCTCTCTGCATTTTTAATCCCGACAAGGGGTCGAGCTTTCTGAATTCTTTTTTTTTTAAGAAGCTTTCTGAATTCTTATTCTTTGTTGTTGTTGTACCTCTGAATTCTTATTCCTTATTATTGTTTTTCCTCGGCAATCATCCAATTCGGTTGCTGATTGTGGGGTTCATTATGAATTTTTGGATTGAATATCAAAAGTAAAAAAAACTAAAGTTAAACGGGTGATTTCCTTCTTTTGAAACAATTTTGTTATAGAATCATAGAGATGACTTGCAAAATTTAAATCATTTTTGTATATTTCCTCAATATTTGGGAGGAAGAGCTATGAACTAGAGTCTTGACAAGCGATGGATCATCTTGTCGGTGGGAAATTCAAACTCGGTCGGAAGATCGGTAGTGGATCTTTTGGGGAGTTATACATTGGTGAGCATATGCTTCCTGATTATTCTTCTTTGTTTCTTCAAATGTCATTTGGGGAATCATTTTTTCCCTTTATTGTTGTAATGGAAAATTATCTACCTTTATTTTGTGTAGCTGTCAATGTCCAGACAGGAGAAGAAGTTGGTGTGAAGCTGGTAATGAGAATTTTGAACACCAAACTTACTTTTTTTTTACATTATCTTTTCTAAGTTTATTGTTTTCATTAATGTGGATTTTTTTTTGTTAATTGAAATTTGAATGGCAAAATCTTTGATGGATGTTTGTAATGACATTGGTGTTTCATTTCCATTTCAAGAAATCTTCGATCTTTTGCATCTTACTGGTTTTCTAGGAAATGAAATAAATCTATAGTGGAGATGTGAAATTTTTAGATTGCATAATTAAGGCTCTATAATTTAAATTATATTCCAAAAATTCCCCAAAATTACAAAAACTTTGAACTCGTTGTCCTTCTTTTCTAAGTTTCAACTCCTTGTCTTTTTCTTAAAAGCGTTGGTGGAATTTTTTGGAACCTTGAACATCGACTTGCCAATATATGCAATTTATCTATTACATTTCACTACTTTCCTCTCTCTTGTTAAAGTACATGTGATCTTGTTTGTAGGAGTCTGTGAAGACCAAACATCCCCAGCTACACTATGAGTCTAAAATTTACATGATTCTCCAAGGGGGGAGTAAGTTATTTTTTACTTTTCATATGAAGGCATATTTCACTGTTAGCATGATAAGAAGGACACTGGAAAATTTTGAGATTGTTCTTATATGTTGAAATTGATTTGGTAAATGATCAACTTTCATCATGCAGCTGGAATTCCTGAGTTGAAGTGGTTTGGTGTTGAGGGTGACTACAATGTCATGGTCATAGACCTTTTGGGGCCGAGCCTAGAAGACTTGTTTAACTACTGCAACCGCAAATTCTCTTTAAAGACAGTTCTTATGCTTGGAGATCAGTTGGTATACATTTACTCACTTCCATTTCCATAATTCTTGTCACTTTCCTCCATTCATCAGTTGAGTTTATGACCATATATCTTTATTTCCCAGATTAATAGAATTGAGTATATGCACTCAAGGGGTTTCCTGCACCGTGATATAAAACCTGACAACTTTCTAATGGGTTTAGGACGCAAAGCTAATCAGGTATGTTTGCACATACCATTTGTGCCTTCTATTGGGATTTATAGTCCACGTGAACTAAAAATCTTTTACATTGACCCAAGGGGTTAGTCTGCTATTAATGGAACTTTTTTTGGGATCAATATCGCCAAAAAATTATTGGTTTTAAATAATTGTGCATAATGATTAATAGGTTCATATGATAGATTGTTAAGCTATGAGAATAGGTTGAGGAGGGATACTTGTGGTTGATATGAGTTCTGACTATCATGATAAACATGTTTGCTAGTTTTCTTACTTTGAGCTTTATATCTTTATTATAAGCACTTCAAAATTTTTGGAAGATGTTTGTGTCTAGTATATTAACGGTGGGAATGAAAATTTTCTTATTCCTTCTTCATGCTATGCTTATCGGTTGATTTAACAGGTGTATGTTATCGATTACGGGCTTGCAAAGAAGTATAGAGATCTTCAAACTCATAAGCACATACCATACAGGTAATGTATCTTGACTTGTATTCCCCTTCGTGATACTAATCTGATCCATTTTTAATGACTCATCAACTACCTTTGTTGACTCGTGTGAGCTTAAAAAGTGTGTTTTTAGCACGCAATGATCTTCTAGAAATCCTTTTTAGCTATAGTTGTTATCAATGGAAGTGTTATGGGACATGTATTCATTAGGATTCAGATAAACGCCAGTGACTATCTACTGATCCAAGACGATTTCCATTTTGAGCTTACTGTGAAATTATGATTGTAACTTAAATGCATGAAGTGCAGTTAGGATAGTACATGTTACACTGGATATCATCTCCCCACTTCTCTTACATGTATAGTTGTCACGTGTAGATGTGCATGTTCTCTGCATTTTCCTCGATGTGTAAATAGACATAAAATATTGGTAAGATTTTGTGACATTTTTTTCTTCATTTCAGGGAAAACAAAAATCTTACGGGCACAGCTAGATACGCCAGTGTAAACACCCATCTTGGAGTTGGTAAGTAAGGTCTTGTTTTATTTGTCAGCTGTTAGTTATGGAATTACTAGTTTATCCCTATGTCTTAGTGACTCAGTTGCAATCTAATGTTGAGTTATGTTTCCCCTATATTTTAGAACAGAGCAGAAGGGATGACTTGGAATCCCTTGGATATGTACTCATGTACTTCTTAAGGGGAAGGTTCGAAACATATGTCAACTCTTCTTTTTATTACTTTTATTTTCATATGCACACCAATTATTTTTTTGTTTCTCCAACGACATATTTCATTGGTTATGAATGAGCATACTCTCACTTCATTTCCTCTTGGCATCAGTCTTCCATGGCAGGGTCTAAAGGCGGGAAATAAAAAACAGAAGTATGATAAAATTAGTGAAAAGAAGATGTTAACACCAATTGAGGTATCATTAATTTTAACTTAACAGATGTTGTGACAGTACCCATGTCTATGTGATTTTTTCTCTCTTGGTTACCACAGTGTACTGTAGATGGAAAAAGTTAAAATATTTTGACAGGTTCTGTGCAAGTCATATCCATCAGAGTTTACATCATACTTCCACTACTGTAGATCCTTAAGGTTCGAAGACAAGCCTGATTATGCATATTTGAAAAGGCTATTTCGGGACCTTTTTGTTCGTGAAGGTGAGTAAAAGAGTAACTTAATCAGATAAGGGTCCCCCTTCTGGTGTAACATTAGAAACCGTTCTTGGCATGTATAATGTTTGCAGGCTATCAGTTTGACTACATATTTGACTGGACCATATTGAAGTATCCTCAAATAGGCTCCAGTTCTAGACATCGGGTCAGTGATTCTTGTAGTCCTATGGGGTTCTTATTTACTTCATGTAATGTTGAATAATTTGTGATGTTCATGTGCTCATTGTCATTAATGTTGAATTATTGACGATGTTCCTAAGCTCACCGTCGTTCCTTCCCCAGCAGGCCAGTGGAAAAACAGGAGTGAAACCACAAGCGACAGGTGAAAAGCCAGAAAAGCCATCAGGTGTGTCCCTTCCCAAGATAGGAAGGTATATCATAATACAATGAAAATTCCAGTAATTTCTTTCAACTCCTTGGTTAATGATGTGACTCAACTAACAAGTCATTGGTTTCATTAGGTTGGGTTTATTTATGAGAGTAAATAAAAAAAATTTGTTTGGTTAACAATTCTTTTATGTATATGAAGTACACACAATTTCAAATACATCAAGATAATGTAATTTCAAGTAATTGGAGGGTAGAGTTTGAAAATGCACTCTAGAATCTAGAGGAAAAAGTAATGTACTCTAAAAAAATAGGTCCTTTTTATGACTTTTTGAACACAATTTCGTAGACAATGTTTTTACATGTACGAGTTTTTCAGCACACAAACCTAACAATGTTTTTGGAAGTACACCTCACAGGATAGCACCCAATATGACTAGTTACAACGAACCAAACATGCATTGATATGTTTTTATTGTGTCAACTAGGTGATTTGCCTCTAGGTAGATTTAGGTGGTATGCACTATTCAATTTTATGCTTTACAATACATCTCGAAGCACAACATAATAATATGTCTAACATGATTTTTCCTTTTGGGCTCATGTGCTTAATGCGGAGAGACCAGAGACTCGTGAAAGACCAATATCGGGAGGCGTAGATGCTTTAGTTAGTAGAAAGAGTGTGTCTGGTATTGGGCATCGTGAGCGCTCAAAGAACAGGCAAGCAGAGGATGGATCATCCTCCAAGGACAACGTAAGTTTGCATAAAATGCCAATTTTTCATCCTTTTTCTTGTTGTTTTCCTATATTCTAATTGTTTTGTTTGGATTATGCAGTAATTATCATCACTATGAAATTGAATTTATTGATTTAATGATAAAAAGTAATCAAATGTAGATTATGAGTGTGTCTATGATTCACCATTGTTGCCTTATGCAAGTTTTAATCAATGTTTTTTTAAATCTTACGACATTGATTTTGTAAAATGAAAATTAGTAACATTCACAAATTCATTGTCAAGAATCTAATGATGATATATTTTCAAATTGTCATTCCAACATAAAAATAAAAAAAATGGAATATTATATCTAAAATTTAATTAGCATATTCGTACAAGCTACATACACATTCACAGTTCAATCTTTTCCATCACTTTTCTTGCCCCTCAGCGATCTGACATTGAGAAAAGTCGGCCATCTTCCTCCCGAAACGTGTCAAAGAAAGCAGTAGCATCCTCCAGTAGATTGAGCTCCTCAAACGTAGGAAGTGAAAGTCGATCAAGTTGGCTCTTCTCCAATAGCAGCCGCCTCTCAACTACTCAGAGAATACACTCTGGTTCTGATACAAAAGCCCCATCAACCTCTCAACACCATGGTGGCACTCCCCGAGAATCAACTCGCGATCAACATCAGCTTCGTAGCTTCGATAACCTTGTCATTGATGCGGATCGGAGGAGGCGATGAAACCAATTCATGGGAACTCATTTTTACCTTCCCTAGCACCTACGGTTCACTATGGAGAATTCTCATTCTTCTCCAATCTCACTTATGTATTCATTCACACCACTTATTTGTTGGGGGAAAAACAAAAACCCCAAAGAAAAAAAGAAAAAAAAAAAAGAAAAGAAAAGTGGATTGGGAATAACTTTCTAAGAAAGCCATGGATCGAGAATGTGGTGGAGGCTGTATTTGCAGGTGTTATTATGCTCTGCATATAAATGTAAAGTTGTCAAAAGAATATCTAAGACACGTCCTGGTAAGGAAAAAAGAACATTCCTGGAGATCCTGCCATGCTTGACATCCTTCTGTAATCCTGTGTTATTGCTTTGTAAAATTATTTTCCTTACATGGACCATTAAACTAATTATCATCATTTGTATTAAACTAAATTTCTTCATACTACAAAAGCGTTCAACTATAATGCTCATGTTGAACTATTTTGATAAATTTCTATTTGCCACTCACTTATTTTTTTAAATAATTTTTCCCTAAGTCCTTTTTCTTTAAAAACTACTTCATCAACTTTAGATTTCCATAAAACCAAAAATAACATGAACTCCTCATTCTCCTATTGCTCAAGAAATTTGAAACACGACACACAGAAATTCGTCTAAAAATCAGAGCAGAGCATGTCGGAGAAGCTGAAAGATGTTTTATTTTCCTCCGCCCTCCTACATTATAGTTAACCACTTCAAATCAAGTATTTATATATATTTCGTCTAAAAAGGGGGCATTTTCTCTTAAGGATATGATGTGACAAACAACCAGACTGGAATTGTTGGTCGGAATTAATCGGGTTGGCTCGACATATATGGCTGGCAGCTTCCTAGAACCACCACCACCCCCCCCCCCCCCACACCACAAAAAAAAAACAGTTCCAAGACCTTGTAAATTTAAAAAAAAATACAAAAATAGCACCCAACCCATACAAATTCCAAAAATAGCACCATTTGTTAAGAACCGCATGCCAAAGGGGCGGGTTAAAAAGAAACTGCATCGGTCTCGTAGCGACCTTCATTTTATGAAAATTACCACCGACGTAACGTAACCCATTTTCGGTCTCTTCCGTGTAACCATTCCACTGTAACCCAAGCGTGAAATTTTGGAATGTCATATACAATAAAACCATAATTCAGTTAATACCATAAAATCACAAATCACAATAAAAAGTAATACAAAATAAACTTATGAAGTAACAAATGGTAGGGTGCACAACAGACAATTAAAGAAGAATAATGAGAGAGGTGAAGAGCTGAGTTTCCAGGGTTGCCTTTTATAGGCAAAATCATCATTGAAAACCGCAGGGGAGGGGGGTTTCATCTACCATGCAGCCCCACTTTTGCATTCCCCTACATGGCATGTCGTATGTCGGGGAATGGGGACGAGACACAAACCGCATGGTGGGGTGCGGTTTGTGTGTCGGCAAGGCAAACCGTGTTGAAGGAATGGTTTCGGTTGAAGACCTAGAACCGCTCCCTCAACAGGCGGTTTCTTCTAGGTCAGCCACTAAACCGCCTATCTCAGTGCCGGTACCCACATAGAATTTCAACTGCATCCTCAACATGCGGTTCTTCCACAAACCGCCTCCCCTAGTAGCGGTTTTCGAAGAATGGTGCTATTTTTGGAATTTGTTTTCGACAAAGCATGGGAGAGATCCATGGTTTATAAGTAAGAAACCGACCTTAACTAACAAGACGCATTTTGGGGTGAAATGGAAGAATTCTTGTAAGAACTCCGAAGTTAAACGTGCTCGATGTGGTGTACAACAAGGATGGGTGACCTTATAGGAAGTCACCTTGAATTGCACCCCAAGTCAAAAACCGTGAGGGTCGAGGCCCAAAGCGGACAATATCTTCGTCGAGAAAAGGTTCAGGATGTTACAAGTGGTATCCGAGCCTCTCTGCGTCCCTCTTGAACGATGGTGAGGCAAACCTCAACGAGGACGTTGAGTCCCAAGGAGGGTGTATGTAACACTTTATGCAAATCCCACATCGGCAAAGCACGGGAGAGACCCATGGTTCATAAGTAAGAAACCGACTTTAACTGAAAAGACGTGTTTTGGGGTGAAATGGAAGAGTTCTTGTGAGACTACGAAGTTAAACGTGCTCGGTGTGGAGTACAACAAGGATGGGTGACCTTATGGAAAGTCACCTAGAATTGCACTACAAGTCGAAAACCGTGCGGGTCGAGAATCAAAGCGGACAATATCTTCGCCGGGAAAAGGTTCGGGATGTTACAAGTGCTATTTTTGTATAAAAAAAATAGTGCTATTTCTGGAAAAAAAAATCTAGAAATTTCCACTTGTCTTCTTGAAAAATGGGCTGCTATGGACAGATTCCCTTACCATCCAATGTGTGGGGCATTCAAACTTACTCATCTTTGTTTCGCTGATGACCTTTTGGTATTCACCGATGCTTCGAATTATGGTATCCAAGAGTTGTGTAAGGTAATTCATAGGTTCCAAATAGTTTCTTATCTAAAGTCTAATCCTGTGAAATGTGAAATTTATTTTGGTGTGTTGGATAGAGATAAAGCAGTAATTCTCGCAACTCGCTATGGATATCAACATAGATCCTTCCCCGTTAGATACTTGGGAGTTCCTCTCATCTATGGGAAGCTTAGTTAGAGTGGTTGTAGGCCTTTAACTGATAAACTTGTTGCAAGAATCAGAAGCGGGCAAGCAGAATCACTTTCTTATGCAAAGCACAGTTGAATTAGTTGGGATAGTTCTTCATAGTCTCACTCAGTTTTGGATGTCTATGTTTTTGCTTCCTAAGGGGGTGATTAAAGAAATTGACAAGATCTGTAGTTATTTTGTTTGAGGAGTAAAAACTGATGTTAAGCTTCGAGCTAATGTAGTGTGGAATAAAGTTACTTATCCCAAAAAGGAAGGAGGTTTGGGGCTAAGAAATCTTCTCTCTTGGAACATGGCTTGCATGGTGAGACATATATGGCTGATATTGATGCAATAGGGGTCCATTTGGGTTGCTTGGATTGAAAAATACAATTTGAAAGGTAGGGAATTATGGGAGTATACTAGAAGTGCAAGGTCTGGGTCTTGGAATTGGAGGAAGATCCTTAAGCTTCGAGCTTCTGTTAGACATTTGTTTGCTGTGAGGGCTGGTCAGGTGTTTTGGAATACAGATCACATGAATAAGTACTCCATCAAGCAAGTATGGGATGTCATGAGACCAAGGCAACAACGAGTTTATTTTGGTCAAAAGTGGTCTGGAAGGGTAAGGCAATAACAAGAAATAGAGTTCTTACATGGTTGATTACAATAGGCAGTATTAATACAAAAGAAAGGATGCTGAAATGGGGGCGTGCAGGGTCTTTGAATTGTTGTTTATGGTAAAATTGATGTGGAAAACAGAGAACCCTTGTACACCAGGTGTGTGTTTGCATTGTGCTTGTTTGGACACTTATTTAACAGGTTGTCACAGCATGTACCAGGGCACAATTGGGAAAAATGAATTGAACTGGGGTCTGGGCGGTTCAAAACTTCAGCGGATAAGATGAAGCAGCCGAGACAGGTAGAATAATTTGGCAGGCATGGATAAGTCATGTCTGGAGGGAAAGGTGCGGCAGAATATATGCAGGGAAAAGCACGGATGTTGAAGGAATTTACTAAAGAGTATAAAGTTAGAGGTTGAGTGTGTTGTTGCTTCTCAAAGGGTTTGCCTATTTTGGGGGGACTGATTTGTCTCTTGAGTCGATTACATCGAGTTTTCAGTACCAGTATAGTTTTGTAGTATGGATAATTACATAGTCTGAAAACCCAAATAGAATGGTGTGTTGTTAGTAGCTCTTTTGATGAATTGAGCCCAACAATTCATAAAAAAAATTTAGTTTACGGATAATTCTCACAATTGATTCAACTATTATGCAAAATTTGCTTATCATATGAAATCTTTGCGTACTACAAATTTGTGAGATCATGAATATTGTAGGTAATAATAAACAAATTACATTTAATGATAAGTGAACTAAGGTATCACATTTGATTGAACTGTTATAGGGTAAATTCCAAGTTTGGTCACTGGGTTTACTTAAATATGTCATGTTTGGTCACTCTCCGTTAGTCTCTATTAATGTAGTCCGTTAAGTGCTGACTTGGCAAACGGAATCGTTTAGTCAGTCGGATTTAACCCAACCGATGCGACCTCGCTCACCCCACATGACGTCACTCGATCTCAAATTAGATCTCTACATGGATCACGGGTCAAGAGATGATTTAAGAGGTTTAAAGAGATTTTGGGAGCATTCAAGGTGGAAGAAAAGGGCTACGAGTTTGTTGATGTAAAATCGATTGGCATAATATATAATTCTCGTGGTCCAAAGATGAAGGTCCGAGTACGACGAAACGAGGATCAAATGGGATCACTCTTGATGGACGTGGATTTTCTACAAGGAAAGCCCATCACATTGCTACGAATTATGGACCAGAATGAAGTAAAGATGGGCTTGGAGGAAGGAGAAGTGAATTCGGCCTATAAGGAATGAAGATCTCCCATGGTATAAAAGGAATACAAGTGTGAAAGGAACCATTGGTGTGAACACATGGGAGTAGGGATGGCAATGGGTCGGGGTTTTCCAAACCCATGGGTTTATCCGTTAAAAAAACCTGGGGTAAAACCCATTAGGTTTGGAAAACTCAACCCAACCCGCTGGCTATCCGCAGATTCATGGGTACCCATGGATTTTCGTGGTAAAAAAAATTACAATAACAAGTTCCTATCAAAATAACATTCAAACATCAATTTTCCCATACAAATTATCCATACATAAAACACCAGTCTAGAAAATTCAAACAAATCACAATTACACTAAACAAAATCACACGGAATAATTGTAGTGAGAGTTAGATTGGGGAAAATTAGAATTAGGGTAGGGTTTGGGGAGAGTAGGGCGATGAAATAAATGTGAGCGTGTATCCTTAAACCCAAACCCAACCTGGTGAATAGTGTACGGGTTTAAACCTGAACCCGACCCAAAACCCATCAACGGGGGTTTTACTCGCGTTGACCGGGTTGAGTCGGGTAGGGTAACCGTGGGTTCGGGTTTTGTTGTCATCCCTACATGGGAGGGAGCATATTTGAAGGCTAGATTCTTGGAGAGTTGTTGACTTAGCCTTTGCTTGTTTATTCTTGGAGATCACTAATGATGAAAGCTGATTGATCCGTCAAACTCCAATTGTCGGAGTCAATGAAATAGCTTTCTTAGGCAGACACACACTTCTAAACCTATCCTCCAACCCCGCTGGCTCTAGTGTTTCGGTCGATGGCCCACCACCTCCTCCTCCACCACCCAGGATATGGTCCACCAGTTGGATTTTGGAAGATGGTCCTCCATTTCCATCCAACGGCCCACAAATGTTGCTTTTTAAATTAAAGGCTCAGATCTATTAGGAAAATAAACAGTGAATTATGGGACCCACGACCTGAAAAAGTAATTGACAAGTGGGCCATTTATGTTTAACAAAATGAAATTTATATATATTATCTACAAGTTGTATACATATATTCTGTTTGAACAAAAATCATATTTGTATTGAACAAAAGACATATTTGTATTGAACAAAAAGTTATATTTGTATTGAACAAAAATACACATTAGAAAAATATATTCGTATTTAACAAAAAAAATATTGCATTACATAAAAAAAACGTATTCCATAAATGTGATTTGTATATTCGTAATTTTCAATACTTTTGTCAAAATAATATACCACGTATTAAAAATCATATTCTTACTAAACACAAAACATATTCATACTGATCCCAAAATATATTTTGTACAAAACAGAAGTCATATTCAACATTTCCCGGAACTTGCATTCTCTACTCTCTCGAATCAGCTCTTTTTCAGTCCACGAACCCCAAAAAACAGTTTTTCGTTAGCTGTTTTTCGGTTGTTGACCTCACTCTCCACTACTACTTTTTCCTTATGAATCTCGACTTTTAATTTAATGGCCCATTTTTATGGAGCATTGGATGGGAAATGGAGGGCCATCCTCCAAAATCCAACTGGTGACCATATCCAAATTCCTCCTCCACAGCTTGTTCAGCGTCCTATTCACGCGAAGCCGCCGGCTGAGTGACCAGCTGAGCACGAACCACGTGATGGTCGAGCGGCGACTGCGGGAGAAGCTGAACGAGAGCAGAGGCGCGGGAGCGCAGCCGTGGCTATAGAAGAGAAGCCAAGGGGAGGGAAGATGATGGCGCCTGGCGGCAAGCGTGGTGGTGTACAGCAACTGAAGAAGGACACTGAATACAATATGGACTCTAAATCGCTGTTGAATATGCAAAGACAGTTATAGCATACAGCAACGGAAGAAGAAAAAAGACATGGATTCACAGTCAAAATTGTGGAGCTGCAAAGGAAGCTTCTCGCGTGGAATTATATTTACATTCGAGAGCTACAAGATGGGGAAAGATGTACAGAGTTCTGGGGCTAATACAGCATCTCCTGGGCGCCATTGCCGCCCAGCTTTTCGACATCTTCCTGCGACAGGAGTGTTTTCCGACCAGTTGTGGAGCCGGTCTTTTCGTATGGCTGAGCCATCTTTCGAAGGAACTGCATCGACAAAATATTTTTATCTTAGAGAGAATGACAGTTCTTTGAAATGGAAAAGGATGGCGTTAAAAGAATGAAAGAACAAACCTCGCGAGCTATATGTAAGGCCATGTCTGTGCTCAAGTTAAGGTTTGCGTCGCGCAAATGTGATAGTATCCACCCAGGCAGCTTAGACCGCTTGTCGTGACGACTATATCTGAGGGGTCAAAAAATGTAGAGACAAAAGGAATTAAGCACCAAAGGCAATGGGGCAGGTATGCCAGATGCCACAGCATGTAAGATGCGGGTCATATAGGGTGCTTCAGCTCAGTTCTCGCAGCAGAGTAGGTCGAACTATTTGAGTATGCGACTCGAACAAAAATAGTAGCACAAGATCAGGATTGGTTTGGTCAAGACTACCATATTACTAGTGAGGTTAACGGTTCAAAAGAACTGCTATTTTTCAGAAAACCACCCTCAATAGTCGAATCATTTAGCATCACCACGACTTACTACCATTTCACTCAACTTTATTCCTTGCTCAACATCAACATGTCACAACATGGTCTTCTAACCGTCACCCAAATCTCAAGCTCTAACTATACAGGAAGAAGGCACTTCCACTTTTGTGCCAGAAGGCGGAGATGAAAAAGAGTAAACTTTTAAATGTGTACCTTTTGTCAGCAAAGATCATCATTCCGTAATCAGCCTTTGAACGGATCACACGGCCGACACATTGTGCAGCTTGTCTCTGATTCAGATTTCTATCTGTTAGTGCTACATTCATTACATCTATCTATGCCAGAGAGGAACCATTACAATCCACCAAATGAGAAATTACTTGGACACGAAATAAAAAAAGTAAAGAGTCAAATACCAAGGCATCAAATGTCAGGAAATCGCCTTCCTTGATTTGAAATGTATCCCTCAGATACTCCAACCGTGCACGTAATATTCTGCAGGAAAATGGTCAAAACACTTAAAAAACGGTACATTGCTTGCTAAAGAACAGTCGAGTAAATCACAAGGCAACTAATATGCATGCACGCAGATCTTCCTCGCTCAACAACAACAACAAAAAAATCTAAGAAAACAAACAAACTGAGAGAGGTTTCTAAATACATTAATTTAACTGTACAGGTAGCTGATAATAAAGATACTTGAAAATGAACCATATTCAGAATACCCTTGATGCTCGTTTGCATTGTTACTAAATTATTTAGTAAAATCCGACATGTACTAGAGTCAAAACTAAAGAGCAATTCACATGAGAAATCCGGAACCAAAAGAACTGCGACTGACAAGGTCACACTTACTTGCTTTCTGTGTACTGGAAAGGAACACCAAACATTATTACTAGTCTGCCATAATGTCGATCAAAATCAATTCCCTCGGCTACTTTTCCCCTGCACATAAATTGTCATCACATGAGAACAGACCTGGACATCGAAAAACTACAGTTTCAAATTACAATAAACCAACCACCCCCACTCTAGCTCCTGCACTCATTCAGGCAGTCAAAACATTAATACTGCTGACAATTCATCACTGCATTCATAACTCATCCCCTCTGACTTGCACTCCCTACAACTCCTTCTAGACTTGCATCCATCTAAAAGAATTATAAGTTCAAGTAACTAACTGAGAAACCTTAATAACCATCACATCTTTGGTACCAGCCATCCAACATCAGAAGCTTAATATGGAGCCAAATCATACCTGGCAACTGAGAAAAAGACAGCCCCTCTACCACAATCACAAGCCCTTCGGTAGTTGTCAAGAGCCAATGTGGTTTCCACAACATCCTGAGTCTCAATAAATACAAGCTTATGCTGCATTATGTCCTGCAATGAACCCAGTATCAGATTGGATGCTAGGAAACTGATGAATGCATAATTTATTAGGAGGGGAAAACTGATTCAACATGTTGAAGACTAAGGATACTAATTGTAGACAAAAATATATATAAAGAAAGGTAAGAAGATGTTGTCGTGCAACCCCATGATATAATATAATAGCAAAACTAGTATTTCACCTTCAGAATTCCACTCTCGTTCCAACTGTTGATAATTCCGTCCATGTACGAGTAACTGACGAAGAAACAAACAATTCCATCTGGAACAATAGAGACCATCTCCACCAAGAGCTTGCCATAATTCCTTACAACACCCGGATCACTTCTCATGTCAAACTTGGTACTAACTGGAAGTTGATCACTGCCATTACAGGATAAACCCAAAAATCCAACCATATTATCCACTTCTTCAACCTCAAGCACAGAGCATATATATTGCTGAGATGTTATGGGTGATGTCAAGAAGGAATGATATATTTCAACTTTTACCTTCCACGAGTGAGAACCATCGGGCAGATGCAATCTCTAGTTAAGGACATTTTAAAGCTACGGCTGACGACTGGATGGAAGTTGAGGAGTCGGGGGTATAGATCAATTGGGCTAAGAGTTCCAGAAGTTATCACAACTGACTGGAACCGGTCAAAAACAGGCTTGATAGCTAGTGAAGCATCATGACAGCACAGCTGGAGCAAGATCAGAGAACACGAAATTGACAAGATGCTTTAGCAAAGAATAAATCGTTGAGAGTAAGGAACAAATAATCAAGAAGCACCGAAACTAACTGATGAGGCTAAGCTAGCCTCAGAAATACTGACCATGTATATAAAAGAAAAGGCAATAACACAGTCTGGAATTCAATAACATATATTATTTACACCTAATTTCTCTTTGAAAAGGTATCAAAAGCCAAAAAGAAGCAAATAAATTTGGTGTGCACTTGACTATAGTGCATGTCAGTGCTGCAAATAAGAAAGCTTCACGGCAAATACAAACACATAACATGCACAGGGGAGAGAGAGGAGACCTGCAATACAGGATCAGGGATCAGTGGCATTCTCTCATCAAAAGGCTCAATTATTATGGAAAATCCACGAGCATAGGTCCCAACAAGGGTTGCAAAGTCGCATATTGTTTGGATGTGGAGGAATTCATCTGTATCGGTTATTTCCAATGTCATTAGAAGGGAATGTAAGCGATCATAGCAAAACTTTAGCGCTTTTTGATCAATTCCAGCATCGGAATTGATAGAGGCCACAAAGCTAACGGGACTTTCTTTTTCAACTTTATCTGTATCCAACTTTACTTTCAGATACTGGACCAATCTACGCAAGACATGCAGAAAATGCTCTGCTCGACGAATATTCCCAGGAACTGCTTGCCTTAAAATATCATCAGGCAATGCAGGGTTGGCAAGCCAAGCATCAGAGGCTGCAGGAAAGCCATAAACCCATATGAAACTGATAGACAGAAAAAGAGAGATGCAATGAAATTGAGCAATATCCTTTAATTACTCAACATACCAGATAGGTCACCTCTTAGTGCCAAACCCTCAACAAGGCGGTTGTATTCAGCCCGCAACCTACCAGCATCAATGTCCTTGAACCTTCCTACCAGTCATACAATCAAATCAAAAATTTAAGTCTCGGAACTTGTTAAGCTGACAAGCTAAAGGGAAAAGAACAAGATAAACAAATAGATAGCCTTCCTATTGACCCAATCGAATCATTTCTACAGAACAGAATGAGGCATTTAAACAACATAAACCTACCCTCGCATTTCCATAATGAAAACTTGTGTTTCTGGTACAAGGCCAGTAGGCCCCATGGTTCAAGCATGTTCCATGATGAGACAATGTATGAATGGTACAATTAGTCATACCTGTCAATCTCGTTCTCTATCCTAGAAATATTTCTTATAGCTCCTTCGAGGGTCTGCCTTCTGACGCTCACGCTAAGTGCTTCAATGCAGACATTGTCTATGTTATGTGCCTCATCAAATACAACCACAGACTCCTTTTGCATTTCTTTGGATATAATCCCTGCCACCTTTGGGTCAAGCAGGTACTGATAGCTATAAACCACCACATTTGCAAACTGAACCATATGCCTTGCCAAGAAGTACGGGCACCAGCCTTTCTCTTTCCCAAAAGCTCTTAGATCCTAAATTCATTACAGGAAAATGAAAAGGCCGCAGAATGACAGACAAAGGCATGAATCATTTAAAAACAACAAACAAACGAGTGATGAATTACAAATGCTGCAAATTATAGAAAGATTCTTTTCTACCTCAGTGACCATAATGTATTAGGTGGCAACTAAATTCTTCTACAAACTTCAGCTCAATGATTAAGACTACCGTAGATGATATTCATCTTAATTTTCCAAAGAAGAGATCGAAGTCGGAGTACCTCTAACGTATACACTCCGGCAGGCAACACGGCACCACCCGCTGCTCTATCATAGTTCTCATAGAACTCACAGGTCGGCTGATTTGGATTTTCAGCGGCCATAGATCGAACCCAACTCGCCGTCAGCTTCCTACAAGCAGCATCGACGGAATCCCGATTCTCAGCAGACGAAACCTTCGGATTGACACAAAGATTCTTCCTCGACGACAAGCCGATCGCCAACATCTTTGCAGCCGCCCCTAGATGCTTAACCTGGTAATTATGCAAGAACTTCAACTCGGCGAGGGTTTTCTCCATCTCGTGCACCGTCCGCGTGCAGTAGATTAGCTTGATTGGGCTCTCAGTCTTAGCCAGAGCGTAGCTCGTGATTAGAGAAAGAAGTGCAATGGTCTTCCCCGTCCCTGTAGGCATTTCCAGGAGGCAATGGCCCTTCGCATCTAGGGCTCGCTTCAGCTCCACCATGTACGTGTATTGCTCTGGGTAGATGTTGTCATACGGGAAGTAGACTGTCACCTCCTCTATCTGGAACTTCATTATTGCTGATCCTGCGGTTCTGGGAAGCTGTGATCGCACCAAAAGTGAGAAGATCAAGCGACGGCGGACGGGGTTTAGAAGCTGGAGGTAGTCACGCCGCCGATTTGAGACAAACCCTGGGCTCCAGCGAGTAGCAGCACTAGCTTGAAATGGGAAAAGATTCGGGGCTTAGTGATACTACTAAACTAATTCCAGGCGTTGATGCTAGAAGCTTCAATCCGACGGTGGTAATATTTTGTGATTTAATCCGCGTGGACCAAAGTTGTCAAGCCATTGTTGAGGTTTAATAGTAGGGTAGGATTGAGTTCGACCAGTTTAACCCGATTTTAATGGAATATGTGAGAAAATTTCTAATATTAAATAAATTCTGAATATATTTAATATATTTGAAAAAAATTTCACTAATCTACATTTATATATTACCAAATTATCAATTCTCATTTTCAAATTCGATTTTGACTGGTTGAACTCGATTTTAACTCGTTAGATCATCCTGTTTTGACTGGTTTAACTCGATTTTGACTTTTTCCCAGAATCCTCCAACTAGAATTTATTCCAACTGTTTATATGACTACCTCTTATCGAACTAGGTTGAACCGATCGACCGAATAATGGTTTGAGAACCTTGGCGGAGAGTGGAGAAAGTTGGATTAACTAGGGATTTTATATATATATGGTGGCTACTTCGGTGCACTCACTTTTTTGGGTGCACTCAGTGCACCAAACTCTAAAAGTGTCCATAATACATCAAATTTTGAACTTTAATTAGTACTCTCAATCTAATATGATGATATGACATAGAATCATAACAAATCAATCTATTTCCCTAACCCCTTAACTATCAATTTTGAATCCCAACTCAAAATTTTTTGGGTGCACTCAGTGCACCAAACTCTAAAAGTGTCCATAATACATCAAATTTTGAACTTTAATTAGTACTCTCAATCTAATATGATGATATGACATAGAATCATAACAAATCAATCTATTTCCCTAACCCCTTAACTATCAATTTTGAATCCCAACTCAAAATCTCAAATTGTAAACCTAAACTCTAACCCTAAATCCCTAAATCCTAAATCCTTTGAATTAAAGTAAATTGTGAATGGATTATTTTCAAATTCATGTGCTTCTTGTTCATAATATCATAAGCAACAATTGATATCATTTTGACATGAATCGCATGCTCAGAATGACAATTATGAGGCGGGTCCACCGAATACTCCACCATATATATATTAGAAAAATAGTACCAAACTATCGCACTTTTGAGAATATTTTCAAGGGCTAATACCACTACAACACCCGAACTATCGCGAAAATGCCACTTGTGTCCTATTGTTTCTAATATTCCATCCGTGTCCTGAACTATGATACTTTGTGTCATTTGTATCCTGTCAATTTCGTTGACCGTTAAAGATAACGGTTGACCAAACGGTGGTCAACGCGAAGTTGACTTTTGTTGACGTGGCAAAAAAAGAGGCTGCCACATAGGTGCCACGTCATTGACCTAATATTTTTTAATTCAAATTAAATAAAAAAAATGAGTTAAAATTAAAGAAAATGTAAATTCAATTATGTTATTAAACCAAAATTTTAAAACAAAATAATAAAAAACTCTTCTTCTTCTCTGCCAAAGATTCAAGCTTTGGCTCCTGTTTGAGAGGAAAATCAAAGCAAGAACTCGAAAGAAAAGCCCCATTGGAGTGGCACTTTTGCTAGTGAGCAGTAGATGTTGCTCATTTGAAATGAAGGAGAAGAATACCAATTTGTTCCCTCTTCTTCTCCTCCTCCTCTCCTTCGTTTCCCTTTCCCTTGTCAACTCGTCTTCTGATGCAAAGATCCCACTAGCCATTTCCAGCCATGGAACACTCACTCAAGCCGAGGTCTCCTACCTCCGCCGGCGGCAGCTCCTGTACTACAAGGACGAGTTTGGCGACCGCGGTGAGAACGTGACGATCCCGCCGGGCTTCGTCTTCGAGAACCCGAGGCCACCGCCGCCTCCACTCTTCTCCCCGCCGCCACCGCCAAACCATTACTACACCGCCAACTCGCCAACTCGCCAAAAATCTCCCAATCCGGCTCTGAGAATCTCTCTGAAAGATAACCCAACTCGCCAATCTTTCATCGTGCCGCTACTATGGCCGGAACCCAGAAAATGGGGTTAATTGAAAATCAAAATCCCAAATCGGCCGCCGCCATCGACCTTCTCCATCCCAAAACAAGCGTCGCCCTTCTGTATCCCGAAACCTTGCCGTCGTCAATCCTCTCATCTTTCCGATCACCATCTCTCCATCAAGCCACAACCGCCACCGCATTCAAACCAGAAGAACCAGATCTCCAACCTCTGAATACGGCTAGATGATTCATATCCCCAACCGTTGAGCTTGAGGGGTTGTTTCTAGAAGGCAATTCTCGTTGGTTGTTGTTTGCTTCCCCATATTTTTGCCTGCACGATTAAAACTGGAAGAAAGGCGGAAGAGGGCGCCTGTTCGTCTTCGAGAAGAGGTTGGGCTTTGTGGTGTGGTGGTGAATTGCAGATCTGGATCTTAGGGAAGAGGTTGGTGGGACGAGGGGATTAGTGGGTTACATTTTTATTTTATTTTATATTTTAATTGTTTCCCTTTTCTTATTTTATTAATATTAGATAGAAAAATAAATAAAATTAATATTAGAAATTCCACGTCAGATGCCACATCAGCACTGACTAGATTTTCTGTTAAAAACTAACGGTCAACAAAAGTCAACACTAACGGAATCATAGTTCAGGACACAGATGGAATATTGGAAACAATAGGACACAAGTGGCATTTTCGCGATAGTTCGGGTGTTGTAGTGGTATTAGCCCTATTTTCAAATATAACACTTTTATAAGTTAATTGGAGCATGCATTGTCTCAATTGGAGTTTTCAAACAACAGAATTGGAGTGTGTGCCTTCCAATTGGGTATTTGTGTCTCGAAAAAGACCAATTGAGGCGCTCTCCTCAAATAATTTTATTGCTACCCCAATAGGTGTTTCCACTTTCCAGCATACAGAAATTTCCAACGTTCCCACATAGCTAACTGGAAATTTCAAACGGGCAAGCTAACGGAAAATTTTGGTTGTAATGGAAAATTTGGGGAAAACGAGCATTTTGGAGTGGCTTAAATAGAAGGTCATTTTTCTAATAAATGTCACATCTTTTTTCAACATTTTTAACTTTCATCTCCTACAAATACTATCCACAATATTAAACAAAATTCATGTCTTTCCATCGCTCAACCACTTAAAGGTTATGGCTAATGTGAGGTTTGCGGATTAACTTTTGATCTATACTTGAGTAAATATTTTATTAGTAGATTGAAATGGTATGTGTGAATTAGTTAGATAGGTAATTTAATTGTTTTATATTTATTTTTTCTTCTTGTGTGTAGAGTCTTTAAACTTGTTGTTTGGTGGAATTCAAAAAGAAGAGAGAACATTGGGATTAAGGTTCATTGGTGATACTAATTTCATACTACAAATTCATGGTTGTTTGACATATGTGCAACTATGTGAGGTGATCAACACCAATCTACGACAAAAAAGAGGTAGGAGAGATTAACTACCTTTACATTTAGGTTGTCAGAATTGCAAAGGAATGGTAAATTTATCACTACGGTATCTCTATTATGGATGATGTTCGAGTTTATATGATAACAGCTTTCATGGCGCAAAATCCAAATCACTAGTTTGTTGATATATGTGTCGAGTTCGCTAGTCATCTAGAAGAGGAGGATGATACATCGAGTATGCACTCGAGTCATGGGCGTAGGCGCGTGGTTAATTTTTTTTGCAAAATTTGAATATCATGCGTTTAACAAATGGGGTCGTCAAGATTTAATCATATGATCTCTCAAACAACCATTTTCAATTAGAAGTGTCCTAAATGGCTAAATTTCATTCTCAATGAACTATTATACTAATTTACTCTTTCCTTTGGAGCCACCCATTACACTCTCTCTACCCCTAATTGAAATAAAATTATTTTTACAAACTAGCTATGACTTGGTGGAAATTTGCAGTAGATATTGAATAAGTACATCGTTAATTTTGGGCATATCATATGCACCATTGCCATTTATACAAAGCTCGTTATAAAATCATTGAGCATGCCAATACACAACTTATAAATCAAACATCATATATTTGAAAGTTCAATCATTCTCATTTAAATACATATTATTTTTCATACCCGATTAACGATAATATCTAATTTAATATTTTTGCTCCCGTGCCAGGGTGGGTCCCGGGACCCACCCTTTAACACTCTCCCTCCGCCACTGACTCGAGTAGTGCCCCTAGTGATCTAGATGATTATATGGATGAGGGAAATGATGATGAGGTTGATGGCGATGAGTTCGATGAAGGTGAGCATCGAGTTATGATTAAATGAGATGCTACATCAAACTTAGAGACATATGTTCCTACAACACATTACTTTGTCACTTTTCTTATCCCCGAGAGATGGTAACACAAATTGGATGTTGCTTGAAGTATCATCGAACTCTTCACTTGAGTTAGATGCTCTTTCTTTTTATCTCAACAAAGGTGAAGTCGAATTTCCTCCTTTGTTGATGATTTGTTTTTCGATCTTTGATTTTTTTATTTCTTTTCTAGTTTGAACAAGGCTTATAAACAAAAACCTAAAACCAATCAAGTCTAAATGGAAATAAAATAAATGGAAATAAAATAAATAAAAGATGGTTAGTTACTTTCAAATACTATTAAAAATTCCTGGCAACGACACCAAAAACCCTAGCTTTAGGTGGCAAACTCCCTGCCTCAGGCCGCGAACTTCCCCGAGGCCAAGTTGCCTATAAATAGAAGACCTCTTCCCCCTTCTCAAGTGAGCTTAATTTGGGTGAAATTTCTGGTTCTAGAGAGAGAAGAGAGAGAAGCTAAAGGGAGAAGCAGAGAATGAGGAGCTAGGAGCAAGGAGACATCTTCTACCCCCAAGTCTTCTTCCATTTCTACCATGTATCTTCTTCCCTCCTTTATGGAGTAGTTCTCTAAGGTACTAGGGGTTCTAAACCCCAAACCCTAGTTTTAGGATTTATTATGTATGTATGGATATTTTAGAGTTTGAATGAATGAATGTGTTTGTCTAGTTGATTTTTAATGTCATTCTTTCCTAAATGATGACGCTTGGGTAAGTCGCCCTAATCTTCCCACTTAGCCTACTTTATGCTACCACGCTGGGTAAGGAGTGCTAGGGTTAGACGGGTATGCGCCAGCTGGTGAGTTTAGGTTAGATATGTGAATGGGGGCCTATAGTGGTCGAGGTGACCGAACCCCTGCTATAGGTAGCCTTCCTAGATGGAACCCGGGATGAAACCTTGGTGTGGACGGTAGATATTGTCCATTGAAATAAGCCATAAGCTTAAAGCCCCAGATAAGATAGCCTAGATCGAGGTGACTGAAACATGGGTTTAGGAGAGGCGTACTCCGAGGCGTGTGGATAACGACGAACGCCCATGGAAAAGATCTCACTCACCACATTCGATAACCCTAAGTATCTATACATGAATTGTATCCCTAAGCTAGGGGGAGGATTAGTTTCCCGAAGTACCTGCTTTTAGCTTTGATAAACCTCTAGACTAGTTATTCCTCATATCCTCCATTCAAAACCTCAAAAACCGATTACCTAATTAACAACAAAGTGGGGAGTAGGCTAGGGTACTAGGACCCGAGTAGAATACGACCTTGATTACCACTATACGAGAATGTCGTCCTAGGTTAAACTTGGCGTATGATGGGATAGTTGTTGATACATGCCAACCATTGACAATTACATGCACGGATTCACGTGATCAACAAGTTCGAGATAATTATTTGATTGGTTTCATATACCAATTGGTCATTCTCGCGAGTTCGGATATGTTTGATCAATTTCCGCATTTTATATTTAAGTTTCATGTTATTCAAGAAAGGAGAAAAGCCTTAAAAACTTCGATGTGTGCAACTCTAGTGTTTTGGTCCAAGTTAGAGGGGATTCTTCTAATCAGGGTCATATCAATATGATTGCAGGAAAGAATATCCATATTCAAGTGAAGATCAAGAGAAGATAGTTGAATTAAGAAACTATAAACACAAGGAAGCAATAAGACAAGCCCCACCAAACGTGGTAGAGCAATCCCAGACAAAGCAAGATCAACACTCTATGATTAGCAATAAGGGTCAGAAGTGATAAAGGGCACTGTCTATATTGCTTTAATGATTGTGAGCTTGTGTAGTTTCTCGTTTTAGCGTGAGTGGTTGTGTAGAAGAGAGAAAGGAGTATATTGCTCTATTCTTGTCAAGTGTTTGAGTTTCACCCAAAGGAACTCAACTTGGAGTTAGCTTGGAAAAAGATAAAAACCTATACACTAGATCTCAAAGGGTAAGTCACCTTTGATCCAAGACGTAAAGCAATAGGCCGAACTCGGTTAACAAAACATAATATGTATGTGTGTCTCTTTTCCTACTCTTCTATATTGTGTGTTTGATTCTCAACAAGAACAATCTATTGGACGTTGAAGACGACTCGATAAGGCCTAAAGCCTATCTCATCAAACACTTGGACTCTAACTACGAGTCAAGCCAAAAATACCGGTTTCCTATTGTTCGTACTAGTTCATCTTATTTTAGAAGAATATTTGTGTGCAAATGTATTCTACAGCATTTTCTCTATTTAAAGTGGTTAACAACCCTTATCAATTATTAATCGATTAACTGCTAATTGTCAGTTATTAATCGTTTATGACTTGGTAACTCACTAAGAGAATTTAAACTTTGGTTAATCGATCCACTTTCGCCTTAGGAGTTAACGATTTGATTAGTATTTAGTGGTATAGCCATTAACAGTATAACCGGAAATTTTGACTTTTAGAATCCCTAATTTCTAGGAACCACAATTTCAATTGGATACCTATAATATATTTGAATGATATCATGCATGTAATTTTATAAAAAAAGTTAATCTACAAGATATATAAAGGCAAAACATGGGTTGAAATTGTCCCATTTCAAATTTCGTGACCTGAGAGTGATTCTAGGAATGTCATTTTTGTCATTGCACCCAGTTCATCTTTATGTATTAAAAATGTTATCATTGGAGTTCAAACCTTGGTCACTCAAATGAATAAGAACGTTATAACCAACTAGGCTACGTTATATTTATTATTATTTTTTTACTAAATTCTAGGAATATGTTTGGTGATTATGTTTTTATATTTATATTTTATCTTAAGTTATTTATATTTTATAGAAAGATATTAATTCAGGAATCAAAACTCAAGTAACATTGATTCAAACATTAATTTTAAATTATATGTGAAGTTTAGTTTAGACAAAATACAGAAGTGTAACCCAAACATGGACCTTTGTGATGAGTATAGTCCTTTTTTGTGACAAATCTACACATAATATAACGATAAAATTGGAAAATGAGAGTCTTATTTCAAATTTTGTGTTTGAGAGTGATTTTACGAACTTCTTTTTCGTCATACCACCCAATTTATCTTTATATTTATGTGTAAGTTTGTCACAAAAAAATTACTATCTTTGTCACAAAGATCCATGTTTAGGTTACACACATGCATTTTGTCTTCACTGAACTTCACATACAATTTAATGTTTAATGTTTGAATCAATGTTACTTGAGTTTCGATTTCACAATTCATCACTTTCTATAAGATAAAATAATTTCAGGTAAAATACCCAGTGACGGACCCAAGAATTTTTCACAGGGGTGTCCTCTTTTAAAAAATAAATTTCATAAAATAAAATAATTATAAAAATAAAATGTAAATAAGAAATACCTTACTCATACAAGTTAAAAAATCCATTATGTATTTTCATATTCTGAAATAATTGTAGAATACACTTGGTGTCTATAGTGTTAAAAAATTGTCTCTATATACCCTACTAGACAATCATTCACGAACTTATCGCATATTCGATTTGTAAACTTGTTTTTTATGGAACCCAAAAATGAAAGACTCTTTCAACACTTGTCGTACAATCATAAAATCAATACAAATTAAGGGTAGGTTGAAATTAGTTTAATTGCTAGGTTTTGAAAATAATTAGAGATAGGGAATGACATTTTACTATGATACAGTGTTCAAAATCGAACAACAAATGAGTTGTAGTTTAATGGAAATTAAGTTTATTAATAATAATAGTGCTCTAGGTTTGAATTACCCAACCTACCACTTATATTTTCATACACAAATTTATAAAATGACAGTAGAATAATCAATTTTTTTCAAATTTCAGAGGTGTCCCTCACATTCAATTATAATCTTTTTATCCATACATAAATGACCACCGTAGGTTGAATAATCGGTTTCCAAAAATTTAGGGGTGTTAAAGCACCATGCGTCCGCCCCTGAAAATACCTACTTGGTTGAAGAAGCTCTTTCTATAACATATATTCAATATTTTAAGATTTTCCATTTCAAATTTCGTGAAACGAGAGTGAAAGTAGGAAGAGTATTTTTGTCATCACAATTATTTATCTACTTCCTATAAAAAAGTATCAATATCAAGATTTGAACCATTGTATCTTCAAATAAAAACAATAATCACAATCAATTACACTAAACAAATTTGTTTTATCTTCTTAAATTGTAAACATACACTAAGCAAAGATTTGAAAAGCAGAGCACTTTTCCATCAGGGTTAGCTAGCCTATTAAATCTTCTGAAAAGCAAAGTTTAATACGTCATTTATAATTTTTTATAACCTATAAAATGACGGGTAATCTTAAAATTGCAACACGGATTTCAATGCTTTAAATATTGCATATCGAATTGCAGTATTCAATATGCAAAAGCGAATGATCCAAAAAAAACTATTAGCATCTCTCTGAAAAATTTTCTCTCTGAAAAATTTTCTTAGTAATATTTTCTCGGCGCCCAGCCATGGCTACCGTCGATCAGCAAGCCCACCAACTGGTTCACCGCTCCGAGGAAGCGCCAGATTCTTCACCGAAAACATCCCCAATCCAACAGAGCAAAAAACAAAAACCGCTCCACGAGGAGGGATTCTCCGGCCAGGATCAATGATCTTAGAAACGCCGATAACTGGCATATTAGAAGATGGCAGCAATGGGAAGAAACCCTGCCAGCGATGAAGCTCAACTACAGCGACTCGGTGTCGGGACGACGTCTGTCCTCCGACAAGCAGGATGAGAACGAGCTGATGCCCGACGAATCGGATAAGGAAGATGGTGATGATGACCCAGACTGTCCAACGATTCGCGTGCGTAAAGTGACGGTTAACAAAATCCGCGATCGATGGGGGAAGGCGCTAATATGCAAAATTCTGGGAAAACAATTCCCCTTCTCAATCCTGGAAAAGAAGATACAACATTTGTGGGCGAAGAGTGGTAATGTAGGCGTGGCAGATTGTGGAAATGGATTCCTCACGGTTCGTTTCGTCTCACAACAAAATTATGATAGAGCTTTATTTGGTGGACCCTGGCTACTTGGAGATCATTACATTCTTACGACAGAATGGAGACTAGATTTCGAACCAGACTATGATGTCATTGATCATGCTAAAGTCTGGGTAAGGCTGCCCCATCTACCAATGGATTATTTTGATCCAGAAATTCTGAATGATATTGGAAGCCGGATAGGCAAAGTGATCAAGATCGACTACAACACAATCCACTATACCAAGGGGAACTATGCTCGCCTCTGCACAGAAATTGACCTGAACAAGCGTCTGGTACCCAAATATCATATGAAAAGAAGAGTCCGACGAATTGAATACCAAGGTCTACATCTGGTCTGCTTCACATGTGGGTGTTATGGTCACAACCAGGAAACATGTGCTAAACTATCAGAAGAGGGGAAGATTCAAACGGAGTTTACTTCCAAGACAAATCCAGTTTTTCAATTTCAAAGGCAATCCGGAAATCTGACCAGAGGTCCTCGAAGATTATGGGCCATGGGTGATTGCTACAAGGAACAGAAGGCCGAAACTGACTCAGAAAACAAAAGCTCATGCCGGAGACGAAAGTAAGTCGATACTCCGATAACCTCGCCGGCGGCAGCCCAACGGGCCTCTGGATCCCGTTTCGTGGCACTGGAGAATGATGAGGCGGAAAATACGGTGGAGGAGCCAGATTTGGAAGCCGAAAATACCGCCAACGAAATCAAACAAAAAGGGGAAGAAACTCTCAAGGTACTGCAAGCGAGTAACAGCTCCGGAAAATCACTCGGGGAGGAAAGAATCGTAGAAAAGGGAACGAGGAATCACAAATCAGAAAAGGAAAAGGTTGATATGACGAAGAAATGGTTCTCTAAAACCATCGACTCTAGTATCGAGCTGAAGACTCAGCCCAAATTTAACAATCTGGCCCAATCTGGGCCGACCCCAAAACACCAAGCCCACACCGCCAACACCCCAACCGAGCTTCCGGTCACCCCAAGAGTTTCAGGGGCTCGTCAACCCTCTCATGGGGTAGGGAATATGACGCCAACCAGAAGCATCGGGAAGGTGAAAATGCGATGCCCCAATCCAAAACTGCCGGGAAACTTACCGTCAAGGAGACTGCGACGGAGTGGAAAGGCCCCGACCCGCCGGGCAGTGTATCAAAACAAGTACCCAATGGTAAATTCGATGTCAGTTCGGCGGTTCTGAGTCAAACGCAAACCAAGAGGATGATGGAGCAACGAAAATCGGAGAAAATGGAGTCCCCTGTTGTGGCGCCAACTGGGAAGGATGGCGCTATGGAGGTCGACTGTGACTCGTGAGGCTTGGGAGTCCTCTTCTTAGTCCTGTCAGGGAAGTTCTTGGTTACTCTACTTACCTTTTTTCCATGTTTAAAATTCTTTGTTGGAATTGTTGTGTTGCGAAACACCCCAAATTCATTCCTACGTTCAAAGACTATATGCGTATACATCGTCCTAACATGGTTTTCATCGTGGAGCCGCGTATCAGCGGCAAAGATGCTTTGGAAGTTATTATGTCCCTGGGTTTTGATCGTTATGAACATGTCGATGTCGTGGGTTTTTCAGGCGGTATTTGGGTTCTTTGGAATTCAATTGACTTTGTGGTCTCAGTGTTGGACAGTGACCCCCAGTTTATCCATTTTCGCTGTACAGGTCCCAATCAAAGACCGGTGACGCTGACTGCGGTCTACGCCAAACCAAATTACTATGACAGACGGGCGCTTTGGAATGCACTCTGTCGTATTGAGGGCACTATCAAGGAACTATGGCTCCTCATGGGAGATTTTAACTCCATTACCAGCCCTTCGGAGCGGCAAGGAGGAGCCATGTATAATCCTAACAAGGCGGCCGATTTTAATGAATGTATTGCTAACTGTGGGTTCATTGATGTCGGGTTCTCTGGACCCAAGTTCACCTGGACCAACGGGGGACTGTCTCAACGCCTTGATCGTGCTATTTGCAATCAGGAGTGGCTGAAACATTTCCCGGACACCCGGAATTCTCACCTGCAGCGCCTTCGTTCGGATCACCGACCGATCCTAGTCTCTAGCTCTTTCGACACTACTGCCTTTTACCAGGTGAGACCGTTCCGTTTTCTTGCTCCTTGGTTAGCTCATAAGGATTTTCACAACATTCTTGACGCCTGCTGGACACGAGGTAAGGATTGTCTTCTGTCTGTGCAGGAGCTACAGGCTACTCTCCACGTTTGGAATAGGACGTCTTTGGAAACATTTTTACCAGGAAGAAATCCCTATCCAAAAAGTTGGGTAACCTTGAGTTGAGGAATGATAAGTCACCAACGGCAGATTCCCTAGGAGAAGAAGCTGACGTGAGGCAAGACCTTGAACACACTTGATGGGAAGAGGAATTGCTTTGGATCCAGAAATCCAGGACCAATTGGATAACCAAAGGGGATCGGAATACGCCTTTCTTCCCCAATGCTACCATCATACGGCATCGCAGGAACAAAATTACCAGGCTGCAGGAAACAACGGGAGGTGGATCAATGATCCGGAAGAGCTCAAGGTGCTAGCCAAGGACTTCTACAGCAACCTCTTCACGGAGGATGAGGTCTCTAACTCGGCGATCCTGACTCTTTCAAAGGCTTGGATGTTGTGGAGACTAACAGGCTAGCTGATATTCCTTCCATATCCGATATTAGAAAGATCCTTAGTGATATGGGAGGGCTAAAAGCCCCGGTAAAAGATGGCTTTAAAGCGATTTTTTACAAACAGTGCTGGGATAGTGTGGGTCCCGACCTTTATGATCATGTTGTTGCTTGTTTTAGGCAGCCACAATGGATCGAGCTCTGCAATGAGACCCTCATTACATTGCCGCCCAAACTTGATGTTCCAAAGACCATGGCAGAATTCAGACCTATTGGACTCTGCAACACCACATACAAAGTGGTGGCCAAATGTCTTGCCAATAGGCTCAAGAATTTGCTGCCTAACCTTGTGGACCCAAACCAGACCAGTTTCATCCCAAAACGACACATCACAGACAACATCATCATCCTCCAGGAGGTGATCTACTCTATGTCTCTAAAAACGGGGGCGAAAGGTCTTATGGTGTTGAAGATCGACTTGGCTAAAGCTTATGACCGGGTTAATTGGACTTTCTTGGAGCAAACACTCCACGCGGCGGGTCTCCCACAAGAGTTTACTAGTGTGATTATGGCTTGCGTCACCTCTACTAGTTTCCAAGTGCTTTGGAATGGAGGGCTCACAGACAGTTTCAAACCGTCTAGAGGCCTCAGACAGGGATGTCCCCTCTCTCCCTACCTTTTCACTCTTTGTATTGAACGTCTGAACCATTGCATACATGATGAGATTAATGCTGGAAGATGGAAACCGATCATGCTTGGCCAAGGAGGAGTGGACCTAACTCATTTGTTTTTTTGCAGACGACTTGGTCTTGTTCACAGAGGCGGATCATAAACAGGGGGAAGTCATCTCAAAATGTCTGGATAGGTTTTGCGCCGCTTCTGGAGAGCAAGTCAGCAAGCAGAAATCCTATGTCTTTTTCTCTAAAAACACTAAAGACTTGACGAAGAAATGGATTAGCGAGCTGCTGGGAATGAAGGCCACCAATAATCTGGGTCGTTATCTAGGAGTGCCTGTGATTCATGGCCGGGTGACGAAAGATACTTACAAGTTCATTATTGAGAATATTGATACAAGGTTCTCGGGATGGAAGGCAAGGAGCCTGTCTCTCACGGGGAGAGTCACTTTAGCAATGTCATTCCTGAATGCCTTGCCGAATTATGCAATGCAAACGGCCGTTATCTCGGCTTCGATCTGCGATTTGATTGACAAAAAGATCTGATCCTTTGTTTGGGGAACAAATAATGGGAAATCAAAAACTCACTTGGTGACCTGGGATACTATCTGTAAATCGAAAGAAGAAGGTGGTTTGGGGCACCGATCGGCGCGTGCGTTGAATCTTGCTTACATGATTAAGCTTGCGTGGTCTTTTCTAAATAATGAGTCTACTTTGTGGGTGAGAGTTTTACAAGGAAAATATTTCAAGAAGAACTCTATTGTTGGCCTCACTATGAAACGCAGCAGGTCGTCGCGTCTGTGGAAGGGGATTATGGATGCTTGGCCATTGACAAAGCTGAACCTGATCTGGGACATTCGGAGCGGCCGCAATGTGAAATTCTGGACCAGCCCTTGGCTTTCAAATGGCATCATCCTAGCGGATCACATCCAAGGCGAGGGAGACGACATCCAATGGGAGGCCTCTGTTGGGGATCTAACCACAAACGACGGTGAGTGGAGATGGAGTGACTTTAAACCTCATCTCCCCAACGAGCTAGTTTCACTGATTGCAGGTACAGACACTCCCAACCCGAAACTGGAGATGACATCACTACCTGGGGACTAGAAGTTGATGGTCGTTTTTTCCTCAAGTCGGCATATCGTGCAGCGGCGGATTGGTTAAGGAATGACGAGGAAGGGGAGACAGAAGTGACAAGCAGGCTGGATTCGAAAGGATTATGGAAGTGGAATGGTCCTAATAGAATAAAACACTTCCTTTGGTTAGCTTCTCATGATCGACTTCTTACAAATGCGGAGCGGAATCGAAGGAAACTCACTACGGAGGATACGTGCTGCTTCTGTAACGCGGGTCCTGAGACGGCGGAACATGTACTTATGGAAGCAGAGGAATGAGTCGATTTTCCAAAACAAGACTTTTGATGCCAGGGTACTCTACCACCGTATCAGCAGCTGGACTACAACTATTCGGTAGGCACAGAAGTGTGACAAAATTAATAGCGACATGACCAGGGTTAAAGAGAGCCACAACCTAGCTTGGACGAAGCCGCCGGAAGGATGGTTCAGCCTTCAGACAGATGGATCAGTCCGACAATCTGAATCCATGGCGGCGACGGGTGGATTGATAAGGGATCATCTTGGGAGATGCCTGGTTGCGTTCACAGGCAATTTGGGTACTTGTACGTTCACCCGAGCTGAGATTAAAGGGGTAATTGAAGGGCTGAAAATTGCTTGGGATCATGGGTACAGGAAGGTGATTGTTGGAATGGATTCAACAATAGCTCTCCAACTGCTTACCACTACTCAACAGGAGAATCAAAGGTACTATAATCTCGAGAAGCAATTCAAAAGGCTTCTTGACCGCAATTGGGAAGTTCAACTTACCCATGTCTATCGAGAATGCAACAAACCGGCAGACTTTCTTGCCAATCGTGGACATGATCATAGTATAGGTATTCATAATGTCAATGTTTCTGATTTGGGCCTTTGCTTTTGGGTCCTGTATGACGTTATGGGCACTGCCCATTCTCGAATATTTTAACGTGCCAGGCAAGGGTGCCCTTTTAGCACCCCATTTTCTACCCAAAAAAAAAAACAAAAGCGATATAGAATTTCTTTAAATTAATATCAATTTTTAGAACTACTATGAAGCAATAATATTTTGTACAAACTATAGGTGACTGGTTCTATAAATTTTAGTCGGGTTAACTGCTAAACGTTAAACCTCTTGCTAATCTGGGATGAATGGACCTCATAATAATGAGACGATATTGGGTTTAATGTGATGTTCATTTCGCCATTTTTGGATGAGTTGATCAATTTAAGGGCATTAACATATAAATGAGTTATAATTAACCTTATTATACAATTTTACTCTTTATAATAATTAATTTAATCTTAGTGATGTTTGAAATATTTTATGTATGATTTAGAGGTATATTTATTATTTGTGACATCAGTGGTAGTTGGTTCAAATGTAGTATTTTATCAGGTAGTCAAAATCGAATACTAGATACATTTATGACTGTTATTTATCTTGGTGTTGTGAATGGGTAGAAACTTAATTATTAGAATGCATATAACTATACCCAAGCACTTGGTCGAGCTAGCATAACACAGTTAGAGCATACCATTAAGACAATGTATATGGATCGACCATGAACAAGTATTAATGCTTCATGGATCGTACCAGACTTAAACTTCAAAGGCTCGCGTCTGGTGAACTCATGTTTTATGGAGAAATGTGTCATTTGATAAAAATAACATATAAAATTTGAATTAATGGGTAGTTTTTCACATCAACGCTTCATGGATCGTACCAGACTTAAACTTCAAAGGCTCGCGTCTGGTGAACTCATGTTTTATGGAGAAATGTGTCATTTGATAAAAATAACATATAAAATTTGAATTAATGGGTAGTTTTTCACATCAACGTGTGACGGCTCAGATTCTAAAAGTCTATAAAATACATTAATTGTCTATTTTGAGACTAAAACCTTTTTTCAATGTATACAACTAAAT